TAGTCTTTTAACGTTAAAACAGTCACGCACGAAGAACGTTCTACGACTTTGTTAGCTCGCAGTTGGCAGTTGGTTCTTCTCCTCGCCACATCATTGATGCGCCATTTGTTTGTTTGCGACTTTTTTTTCGTATCTTTCGCATCAAAAGCCACCCGACGAGATCACCACAAAGAAACCGAAGAATATGATAAAAATAATCTGTAAGAGTATACAATTGCTCCCTATTAATTGTACGATACTAGCGATGTTATCGTCAAATTCCTTTTTCTAGTTTGGATCTTGGTAATTTTGCTCATTTGAGCAAATATTTTTGCTTTCTTGTTTTAGATACAATAGCGGAATGATAAGGCATTGGCTTGTGCTGCGGGTGAACGTACTGATTCAAGATGACCTAGTTTCGGCAGAACCACTGCTAGACCTTGTTCTTCCCGTGAAGATCGTGCAACAGGTTTGCAAGGTTTGGAAGGAGCATCAGCAGGTCCATTCGTTCCCACTCCATGATCATGGTGCAAGGTGGGATTTGAAAAACGCATTGCTACTTGCACGCCTAGAGGAACGCCATTCGCAGCCGGCGCATGATCGTGCCGGTAGTTGCAGGCGATGGTAAAACTGCTGGTGCAAATTAAACATTCTCTATTTCTATCTTTCGAATCGTGTGAATCAGTCCATCAACCTAACTTCCAACTCAACCACCCACATGGGCGTCTACATGTGTACTGCACGGTAAGATACATGAAATCCTTCCATCAATTTACATTGTTTCTGCCTTGTTATTTGGGTTGTCCACTGCCATATCAGATAGCTTGTGAATCAGCCGGATTGCTGGCCTACCATGATGCACACTGACAACTTCAAACTTGTGATCGATTCCTAACCACTGCAACGGACGCTGCACGTTCATATCTGCAAATAGTGATAGATCGTTCATTTCACACTCTGGCACAACAATCAATGATCCTGTATCACTCTCGTCTTCTTGGACAAGCTGCGTTATTTCATTCCAACAAGTTGAAAATAGACTGTCATGTTTTTCAATGGCACCCTTCCCAACTCCAGTCACTACATGGAATCGAGAACAAACTAGCATTCGTCTTCCTTCTTCCAAGAAATGAAGATCGTTTTCGTCGTCTTTTGTTCGTTCATCGACTGGAATCTCAATCAGTGATTGTTGCATGCTGTCCAAAAAGCCAGCCAGAACCTCCCGATCACTTTCATCTGTTGGGATGCCCTCCAAGCGCTTCCAGGGACTTGTGTTCTCGTTGAATTCAAAGGCATCTGAAGCTTCACTCTTTTTAACATAATCGCTGGCAGCAACATCGGGTGTATCTGCCATAATTGTACTAAACAATGGCTTCCATTCCTCGTTGGACTCGAAAAAGAATTCCATTGCTCCTTCCTCATCAATCACGTTCTTGTTGGGACTCAATGCACTCTTGCCATAGGACTTTTTCAATGGTTCTTTGTCATTGCGTTCATCGTCAGATTTTCCAAATCCCTTTCCGGCAGATATAGAGGATGTGGGTGACGCTTGTGAAATCGGTTGCTTGGTCAAGAGATCAAGGTGCACAAAAGCTTTCGATTGAAGTATACAGCATGAAAGTAGAAGCAACAATTCCATCATGTACTCGGTTGATAATGCCGTCACCGGTAGTGGATGATGGATAATTGGAAAGTTCTTTATGCAAGATGCAGACCAAGGGCGGATGACAGACCGAATAAATCCGTCCTTGAAACCTTTCACTTTTGCTTTCACCTGTGACCTTTACTTTGACCTAGAACCTTGACCTTACCTTCAACCTCAACCGTCGAACCGTGAACCTCAAACCACACTGAACATAACACTGTAGGACAACTGCATGAGGATAGGGAAAGAAAGAAGAAGACAAAACTAAGTATCTCCTTTGTCTGCACTATATTGAGGAGGTAAGGAGTTAGTGTAGGTGCAAATGCTGTTTGTGGTGCAAGTGTAGTCGCTCAAATCAAAGAACGGTCGCCGGACGCACTGTCATCAGATATAATGACCCAACGATGTTGGATAACCGGATTTCGTCAAGTCTTCCAACCTCCCCACCCCAGCACATCTGAAAATCAATAGCAATTTGCAAGTAGCTTAGTTCGAAAATGAGAGGTTTGATCGAACGCCACAAATCTCGCAGGGTCGCTCGGCGTCCCCAATTGCCCCCGCCGGAAGAAGAGGAGGATCCTTGGGCAGATGTCGACGCTTCGAAGTGGAGATTGAATGAGTATCAATTTGACAGTACCTACACTGGAGATACTTTGGGAAAGGAAAAGGACATTGAAGGATCCATCGAGTATGGAATGAAGAAGTTCAAAAAGAACCCAAAGAAATATGTTGCCATGTTGTACCAATCTAACTTGCTTAAGCGTCCTGTGGAGAAACAAAAGTATACCTACATCTACCGCAAAGGAACAACCGGCTTCAAACCAGTGGGAGTTCACGACAAGGGTTGGATGACTCTTCTTGTCAACGACTATGAACAGCTGAAGCCCCTGCCGGACAATGAACTCCCTGAAGAGTTCAGAGATCAGTGGACTGACAGCATGACCTACCAAGGCATAAAACTTCACACTCCAGAAAGGTTAGTCTTATCGTTTACGATTGTATAACGAGGATCTCTGTGTGTATCTTTCTAACTCCTTCTTTTTTAAATAGACGTCCTTTGATGCCTGGACGTGGGATGGGAGTCTGTGATATGCCCAACATTAAAGTTATTAACGATGTGGATCCTTCCGATATTGCGCAAGGTCACGTTGGTGATTGTTGGATGCTTTCGGGAATCAGTTCTCTGGCTGAATTCGATGGTGCCATCAAGAGATGCTTTCGAAAGACACCCAATCTTGACCAAATGCCAATGGATTCACCCAACAAGTATATCATCAGTCTATGGGATTTGGAGACATGGGAAGAAAAGGATTATGAGATTGATGAGCGTTTGCCTGCCAATCCTGGTGAAGGTGGACTGTTGCTGGGCGCCAAACCATCAGATGATGGCGAGCTATGGGTCTGTTACTTGGAAAAGGCCCTTTCCATTCACTGTGGAGGTTGGGATAAGATTGTTGGTGGACAGTGCACACACTGCTGGTCCATGCTCACTGGGTGCAAATACCAGTACACCATCAAGAAGAATCCAAAGACTAAACTCTTTGCCTGCTACGGAAAGTATGTTCCAAAGGAACGAAGGTGGCTAGACCACAAGAATTCACCTCACGATGGTGACAAGCGACGATGGAAAATCGCATGGCCAGAGGCTGGTGGTGGTGGTACCAAGGAACTGACCCAAGAAGAGCTTTTCATGAGAATGTGCGCTTGGGGTAAGTATACTGTAGCTATTATGCAGCCTCGACTATTGAATATCAAAAGCTTGGTAAAACTTATGATTTATCCAACTTATTTCTCTTCAGACGATAACAACTACATTGTGGCCGCAGGATGTTCCGATGGCAAGGGTGATGCAGGGTTGGTTGATAACCACGCATACTCTGTGATCGAGTGTTTGAATGACGTCGCAGGAACGCCCATCGATATGATGAAGGTCCGCAACCCATGGGGTGAAGGAGAAATCGAAGATGGTGAATTTGACGACGATGGTCCAGGTTGGGAAAAATATCCACAGATTAAGGCAGAATTGAACCCAGTAGTTGCTGATGATGGTATATTCTGGGTGAACAAGAAAGAATTCTTTGAGTTCTTTGGTACCATCTTTGTCAGCGCATCCGATATGACAAGGTTCTTGGAGGATTAAGTACGAACACTTTACATACCCTACCAACGATAGACTTGGCCAATATATAAAAAAGTATAGCGTCACTAGATATACTTTTGTACCCTCCAAGAAGTTTGGAGGAGTAGTCCTTGCAGTTGCTTGCCTATTGGAAAGAAAAACAGCGATCACTGTAAATTGTGGAAGGAAAGCAAATGGGAGTGAAGAAGAAAGAAACAAAGAAATCAAGAAAATGAAGTTTGTGACCTTCAGAGAGAGAAAGGTCACAAATGTAGTGAGCTCGACATCCTTCAACGCCCCATGGCATACAGAAAAGATTTTCTACCTCAACCAAATGACATGTTCAGATATATGATTATTACTGTAGTCTCTGCGCGCGGCAAAAGCAACAAGGTGCAAAGGGTTGAACAGAAAAAAGAATCAATCCAAAGTTCACAACTCGAATTAGAGAGAAAGGCAAGAAGAGATCGGCAAGAAGGAAGGTGCAACAGCAACAGGAGTCAGGAAAGAGATATTGCTCGCATGGGTAGTGAAAGAAGCTGCTCGTATTCCACTGCAACAACAAACCTATCGCAGCGTTTCCGACTGGTAATCCTTCTCATCAAAGTAGCTCGCTTGCACCACATTAGGTCCAAACTGCCGACCAGCCAATTCCCGCTCGGCATTGTTGGCATCTTGCACAGTCGCATACTCCAAAAAGATCTTCTTGATGGCGGACGCTTGAATACTCGAGGTTGCCTTTCGCGGAATCTTGATACCTAACAGACGTCCAAACTTCGCACACTCTTCTCGCACTTCCTGCATCAAGCCTTGATATTCGTCATCAGTCGCCAAATCTTCGTCAGTCACCATATTCAACAACACTAAAATTCGAGTTGGTGCCTTGGCAGCCGCAGCGGCAGGACCATCACTCGATCCAAAGGCCGCGCTCAACGCAGCATTGGCAATGTCCAAAGCCGAAGCACCTGCTGGAAATGCTGGTGCAGCGGCGGCCACAACTGCTGGTGCCATCATGCCAACGGGCTGTGCCCGAGTCAATGGCATGCCAAATTGATCCAAGTACATGGGAGCTGTTGGCATAGGTCGTTGTCCCATGGCTGCGTCCACGAGAGCTTCAACGTCATATCCCTGAATAATGATGGCACCCGGTGGTGGTGCATTGGTCGCCGGCGCTGCTTGGACTGCTGCGGGCATGGCAATACTACCGGTAGGCATGGGCATACCATCTCGTTCCCCTGCCACTCTTGCGGTCAAGACCTTTCCCCCCCCAAGGTCCATTCCGTTCAATCCAATGACTGCCACTTGCGTCACAGCAGGATCTGCGTACTCGACAAAGCAATACCCCTTACTGGTAAGAGAATCTGGTTCATTCTTGACCAGGTGAAAGGCTTTGACTTTTCCAAAGGCTTGCAAAAGTTCCAAGACTTGTTCTTCCATCAAGTGATAGTGGAGTCCTGCAATATTGAACATTCAATATTGAATGTTGAATAAGAGAAGAGATAAAAACAAAAGAAAGAATATCGGTGGTCAGACACAATTCACAAGCATTAAAAAGTATCCCACTTCAACTCGTCAATTCATAATAATGATGATAATAATGCAACGCTTACCTCCAATAAAGATCTTGTTTGGTCCATCCTGTACAGTTCCGCTGACAATCCCCAATCGACTGACGTCCAAGACTGGAATAGCCGATGGATGCACCTTGGGTGCCATGGTTGGATTGTAATCATTGGGCCGCTTGACCTTGACCTTGCCTCTCCCATGGATATCAATACCATCCAAGGCCAAACAGGCGGTTGCCATTTCTACGGTCTTGAATTCCAAAAAGCAGAATCGGCGTTCGTGGTTGATGTATACAGACAAGATGGGATCCTCGTTGTTATCGACCTTGTGGACCAATGCTTGGTGAATGGCATTGCGAAAGAAATCTTGCAAATCTTGTTCTGTCACTTGCGCTGGTAGGTTTCCAATGTACAATCGACGAGCATGTCTAGTTTGCTGTGGAACGGCATCAAAGTTGCGTCCCGCTGGAATGCCCGCAAAGTCTGTAGCCGCCGGATTGGAAAAGGCAATGGCCGCCGCATCGGCAGCCAATTGTTCCGCGGTAGGTGGCTCATCGAATTTTGATTTCCTGGCCAAGCGTTTGCGACGACGTTCTTCCACCCATTCTTGCTCCTCTTCAAAGGAACGAAAGGTAATTCTGCCATTGTTGGTGCCTCCTTTGTTTCGTTGTGGTGGTGGAGGACCAGGTGGTCCTCTGGATGGTGGTGGTCCCCGTGGTCCGCCTCGGTTGTGGGGTGGTGGAGGGCCTCGAAATCCACCACGTGGTGGACCACCACGATCATCATAACGATCATCGAGTCGATCATCGTACCGTCGGGGTCCTCGACCACGGTGATGGGGTGGTGGAGGAGGCCCTCGGCGAAAATCGCGAGGAGGACCTTCCCAACCACCACCTTCGCCGCGTGGTGCTCGACCAAATGGGTCTGGTTCTCTAGGAGGTGGCTTATTGCCACCAAATTCTGACCGTGTCATCCAAGCAGGGGCATTGTTGATTCCTCGACCTCTGCCACTCATCGTTTGATTATTGATTGTTGGAGTGGGATGATCTTGCTTTGTTTTGTTGATTGTTGGCAAGATCGATTTCGCCTCTCGGACTGACGTCCAGGCAGATCAGAGCCTGAGGTCCAGAGTCTGTCGATTAATTTGACTGCAATATGCTGAGTCACAATTTTCAATTTGGCGGACTGATCCATCGCCTTCTCCGGCGACCAGCGGTCAACACATAACACAGGACGGAGAACAGACGAGCCGCTAGCCTCTTTGGTACCGGTTAGTCGGCATTTACAAACCTATCGCGCGAGCAGACCAAAGAGTGCGGCTTGCTCCATGTGTGTGATAGGTACAGATCAGTACAAAGTATACGGCATTTTTCGAAATTATTCCTCCGAGCACACGTGTCATCCTCAAGTCACGAAATGGCCTTACCAAGTCCAATGAATTGAAATTATACCTCTTTTCCACTCTCTACTTTTTTTCTTTGGCAGCAGGAGTCACACAAACACCACCTCCTTCTACCTTCCAATACACAAATAGAACCATCAGGATCATGTTTTCCACTGCAGCTGCAAGACAGCTTTCCACCAAACGAGTATCCTCTGCTTTCATGAGAAGTCGTGCTTCTTTTGCCACGACTAGTCGCTCTCAATCGACCATGCCAGAGACCGACAGCGATGACGAGAAGGACAGCATTGTCAAGAGTCACATCTTGCGCAAGGACAAGGCTGGTTCTCCTTCTCCCTGGGCTGTCTTTGACGCCTGGGGTGCCGGTATGGATGTCATTCCCGGCGACTTTGACAAGACCATGTTGACACCGGAAGCCGTCCGAATTCCAATGGACGGCGAAAACACGGAAGTCCTTCCCAGTGAAACTGATATTTTGGAGTCGTACGACAAACTTTTGGCTTCCAGATCTTCTGTTCACTTTGGATATCCTTACAATCTCATGTACGATCACTCTGAATTGTACTCTTTTATGAAGTATTCCATCAACAACTTGGGAGATCCCTTTGTGCCTTCCAACTATGGTGTCCATTCCCGTCAATTCGAATGCTCGGTCATTGATTTCTTTGCCAAGCTTTGGAAGATGGAAAAAGATTCATACTGGGGTTATGTTACCACTTCCGGAACTGAGGGTAACTTGCACGGAATTCTGTTGGCAAGAGAATCCCATCCCGATGGAATCCTTTACACTTCGCAAGAAACTCACTACAGTATCTTCAAGGCTGCTCGGTACTACCGCATGCAGTGCGAATCTATTCCTACTTTGCCAATGGGAGAAATCGACTACGAACAATTGGCCCGTCGCTTGGAACAAAACCGCGACAAGCCTGCCATTATCAATGTCAATATCGGTACCACTGTTAAGGGTGCGGTTGACAATCTAGACCGCATTTTGGACATTTTGACCATGTTGGAAATTCCCAGAGAGAATTATCACATTCACTGTGATGGTGCCCTATTTGCCCTCATGATGCCTTTTGTTGAAGGTGGTTCCGAACTATCCTTTGAAAAGCCAATTGACTCCATTGCCGTCAGTGGACACAAGATGCTTGGATGCCCCATGCCTTGTGGTATTGCTCTTTGCCGCAAGGAGCACGTCGAGAAGGTTGAACAACACATTGATTATCTAAACAGTGTGGACACCACCATTATGGGATCAAGAAATGGACAAGCTGCCTTGTACATGTGGTACAGTCTTCGAAAGAAGGGACTTGACGGAATTGAACGCGATGTCAGGTAAGCATATATGAACTGTTGGATGGAGAATGGAGTCTACTTCTTTGGTTGCAGTTCCACTCACACCGCAATTTCTTCTTTTTTCTTTCAGACACTGCATGGATACCGCCAAGTATTTGAGAGACAAGCTGACCTCGGCTGGCATTCAATGCCGTCTTAATGATTTGAGTTCTACTGTCGTCTTGGAACGTCCCATGGACGACAATTTCATCAAGAGATGGCAATTGGCTTGTGAAGAAGATATTGCTCACGTTGTTGTCATGCCCAATATCACCATTAGCAAAATTGACAAGTTTGTCGAAGAATTGACGGAATCCAGACAAACGTTTGGAATCAAAAAGCCAGTTTCCTTGTTTTCTTGGGTCTAAGAAATTTGTAATGGATGGAATGGAAGTATATATATATATATATTTCCAATTTTTATGACATGTGTGAAGAGAAAATGCAGGAAAGGGAACAAACAATAGAGAAAGAATGGGTACCAGGTTTGACCTGGTGGACCGTCTTTTGTTTTTTGTGATTGATGTGAAAGTATAGTTTTAGGTAGAGAAAGAGAGTGGACGATTATTATACAATCCACTAAAGTAATGTAATAAAAAACTTTGAAAGAAGTAGTAACGTTTGTATTTATAATTATGATATACAGTATTGTGATTGCAACAATGCAAGCAGCTTCTGTTGTCAAATTTGAAATTTGCTGTTTTTCTGATTTGTTCGGTCTGCGTTCGTACGTCATCTCCTGGAACGGTCTTCGTAGTACTTTTTCGTACGTTCCCTTTGACGTGAAATTGCCTCTGTTGTTGTCGTTGTTGTTATTGGCAACATCCTTTTTTGTCATCAACTAGACTGAAGAAACATGGTGTGGAGTGTGATCGAGGCCGTTCGGCATTCGCTCAAATACCGAGGAGGTATGAGAGGCCTTTTAAACCACATGTACACGGTAAGTAGTCTTCTGCGAAAATCTCCCTGAAACACAGCCATGCTGGAATCTTGCATGGAATACATTGCAAATTGGGTTGTTCTCATCAATTACTCACTTTTGTCTTTATAGAACGGTGACTACCCATTCAAGGTTGGAACCTACATGGGCTGTGATGCCAAGGGCAACCGCTACTACGAAAACCGTGTGGACTATCCTTTTGGTCAACATCGTTGGGTAGAACCTGCTGATATGCACAACTTTGACTCTACAATGGTCCCCCCAGAATGGCACGGGTGGATGACAAGCATGCACGATGCTGCTCCCGCCTCGGAAGAAGAGTTTATCAATGAGATGGCAAAGAACCATATTCATCCCTCTGCACCTTCCGATGCTCCATTCAACCACAATGTTGGTTACCAAAACGAATATTTCAATTTCAATGGCATGCACAACCAATCGCAAATTCGCTCTCGTGGATACGGTATCGGAAACCCTATCGTTGGACTTCCTCCACATGCTCCAGATGCCTTCTATACCCAACCTGGATCTCCTTACAACCCTCACTTTATCCGAAAGTTCGAGATGGAAGGTGACTTGGATGAGGCCAAGGGTGGAGGCCGCCCATACAAGAATGACTTGTGGAAGGACCGATTGGCCACTGCTGAAGAAAAGGCTGCCAAGCTAAACCCTGTTGGAGGAGAAGCCATGAGTCTAGGCAACCTTACCCCCAAGGAGGAAGCCATTCTGGCACGTGGTGGTACTCTGCCCAACAAGAGTTAAAAAGTTTATATTTGTCTTGCGCGCGACAATCCTGGAGCCAATAATACTATTAGCTACTTTAGTTTCACTAGAAAGAAATTTATCAATACGGCCATGAGAGAATTTACTCGGAAGGTGGGTCTTCCATTCCTTCCAGGGTTTGTTCTTGCATGGAGTGCACAATGGAACCAAGATGACTGACGTCTTGCACGTCAAAGACCTTGTCGCTGGGGATATCGTCTTCCAACGTTCGCTCCGAAGGTAAGGTTTCACCCGAGATCAATTGCAATTTGCTGGGCTTGTCTTCGAATTGCTGCATGGTATTTTTCAACTCATGGCAGTTGGCAAAGAGCCCCTCACGGCAAAACACATACAAACCAAGTCTAGCTCTGGAGACAGCCACAACCAGGCGACGGACGTCGCGTAAATGTCCGACTGTCTTGGTTCGAACCAACGACAGCAGAATGATATCATTTTGTTGCCCTTGATATTGATCAACTGTGGAAATGTTACGGGGTCTGATTCCTTCCAGTGGCATTCCGGCACCACAACGTTGGGACACAATGTCAGATATCAGTTCCTTCTGCCCGTTGTAGGTGGTCAAAATGGAGATTTGTCCCGGTGTGTAACCAATTAGAACCATGTACTGGAACAAGGCCACAACGTATTCCGCCTCGCCAAGGTTTTGATAGTAGAATGGCGTAGGACAGGATTCACCTGAACCTTGGAAATCCTCCACGTTGATAAGCTGCATTGTGTGGGCAAATCCGGCATTGGCAAGTTGGAATTCTGGTCGGCTCTGAACATGAGGTAAGTTGCCAAGGTTATTGTATCGCCAACTGAAGAAGAATGGTGAGTAATTGAAAGAGATTCTGCACGAGCAAATCACGGAACACAACGCACCTATAAAGTTTCATCAATTCCGGTCTTGCTCGTCCTTGTTTATCCAGTTGGATGTATGGCACACCAAGCTTGATGAGCCGAGTGAAAAGACTTTGGTCCAAATTACTGAATCTTGCAAACGCTGCGTGTTTCACAACTGGGGGGAGTTGGTTGTGATCTCCAAGCATGCATACACGCTTCAGCCTTGATAAGCCTGCGACTGAATCGTCAGTTTTGCCGCGTTGCAAAAGGAATGGAATAAACGATTCAATTTCCATCATCTGGCCAGACTCTTCCATCACGATGTTGTCATACTCAAAGCCCAACTCGATTAGATTTGACCGGGCAATGGCAGCGTGGGTACACGTCATGGCAACGATTCGAGCCTGCTTGGTGATCAAATAGTTGGCTCGTTGGCGTTGAGAACGAAGAACCTCGTATGGACGGTACTCTGCCAACTCTTCAAAGATGCCTTGAAGTTGCTGAAAGTACAATACTGCATCAGCTACGACGATTTCCCCTTCAACCTTGAAGTATTTTGAGAAAGGGAATATTGATGAGACATCAGGTTCGCTGCCCTTTTCAGCAGTCAGGGCTTCCACTTTGGCGTCAAAGTCTCTTTTTGCCTTTGAAACCTGCAGCTTGTAAAAGTACTCGGCACTTTCGCAAGTGTACGATGGTGAGCCGTCAGCACCACGAGATGCCTTACCACTGAGTCCTAAGGACTCAGATAGCTGTTGAACTCTTTCGAGCAGCTCTGTTCTACGTTGAATGGAATATGCCACACGCCCAATCTTTGTAAAGTCATGAGTAGACTCCAAATCGAGATCTCGTTCACCAGCACCTAGTCGAACCATGTATCTCTCGTTGACGTCTCCTCGAGCCATTACCTTTGAGAAAATGTCGTTCAATGCGGCATTGGAATGCGTAATGATAACAGTTCGCTGAGTAGGGAAGGAATGGTGCAAACTGGCAATGATTTGTACAGCTACATCAGTTTTTCCTGTATGTTAAGCAGAGGCAATATGAGTTAACGAGTGAAAGATCCCTTAATTCCACAGCCACACCGAGGCCTACCTGTCCCAGGGGGCCCAACGACCATTGTCAGACCTGGTGAGAGTCCAGAATGAATAGCTTCTACTTGCAAAGGTGTAAACCTGACTGGGTTTCCCGTGATGCCCTTTGGGAATGGTTCAGATTTTGCTTCCATAATAGGTTGTCCATCGGTTTCGGTGATACGAATGCTGTAGTTGCGTCGAGGGTTGTCATTGCTGCCCTTGGTAGCCTTCTTTTTTCCATCAATTGTCATTTTGCCTTGAAACGATTCGCGGAGATGGCTTTCGCTGAGAAAGGTATCACCAAAATCCAAAAAGTCGGATGGTTTATTGACCCCCACAGTCTTCACTGCATATTCTTTCATAGATTCTGACCTGTGGGATGCTACGGTCTTATCATCTGTTCCAAGAACAAGCTTTTGGAGCCATTGTGGAATGACCCGTTCAATTGAACCAGCTCCCTCTAACAGTCCCCTGATCGTCTCTAGGACAGCCTTGAAGTTGTTTTCGCGTCCATGTCGTCGAACGATCAAATTGAAATCCTGTTTCACCCCCAAACACAATTATGATTAGTCTTTTAATGCTCACAATCGCTGTTCTTGTCAACGAGAAAAAGCTTACCTTGTACGAGTCTGTGCCAGCCCCAGACTTCCGATCCATTACATACTGAGCGCTGTCCAGTTCAATCTTGAATATCCTTTTGGTGTTGGCTCGCTGCTCATCTGGAACCTCAACACCTGGCTCGCTCAGCACTGTTCCTGACTCGTTTCTCACGCTTCGAACCATGCATCCGCGAACCATAGTTATCCCATACCTTTCACAGAAAGTGCTATCCTCATCATCAGGGACTCGCTTTTCCCCAGTATCAGAGTCCCACATTTTGTGTATGCCATGGTGAAGATGATAGTCCTTCATTAAGGGCGCAGGCTTTCCACTCATTTTTGAAGCATCAACAGCGACAAGGAACAAGTTGTCATGCTCCCCAATGCCATCCCATTCCTCTCGGATCGAATCCCCGCAGTGTTGCAAGTCGATCGAAACTTCTGCTGTAACTTTGGCGCTGACAGTTTCCCCAAGCTTCGGTGGCTGAACCTGTGTAATCGTTAGAGGTTGATCGATTTCAAGTGACATACGCGACCATCCTGCAAACTCTGTAGAAAGCTGAATATCTTCTGATTCATCCAATGCAGATTGACGCAGTAATGGTCTAACACGCTTCACAGCATTTACTAGATCGGATCGAATTTCATAAGCACTCTCCAATCGAACCAACTCAAAATTGCGCATTAAATAGTCTTGAAACGATAGGTACTTTGCATTCAGCTTTGGAAGCGCCAGAACGGATGATATTCTAAGCTCGCGATTGGAAGGTGGAATAACGTTATGGTCCCAAAGCGTAGTCTCGGTTGGGTAGAGCGGAAATGATCTCAGTTGATCCATAGGATAGGGAGGTATTGATAAATGGTTTGAAAGGACTTGAACCAAGAAACTCCGTGTCATGAGAGCGTTCTCGTCCTCTGGAAGCAGACACATCTTGTACATGAGCTTTTGTAAACTTTCATCTGAGAAACCAATCAGACATCGCTCGAGATATGATCGTCTCTCCTGATCAGAACAGAGGAGGCCAACTCCTGCATAAATCACGGCCTTCAGTTCATCAGGGTAATGACGATGTGCCATTTTCTGAAGAATTGTTGCACGTGAGTGATGCTTGGACACCACATCGACTTTGGAGAGATGTTTCTGTGTACTTTCCTCAGTGGGAAAGGACAACAAACTGTTGATCCGTCCCAGTAAATGTTGTACCAGTATCAGATTCTCAGGGACAGCAAATTTATTGCCAACTGCAAGGCGACACTTGATTGCAAAGTGAATGGCGTCAAGGTACGGCACCAGAAAAAGCCGACAGGATGCCATAGAAAGCAGATCAATTAATAACTCTAGATATCGATGGATGAAAATCCAAACGTCCGTGGGTACGCCCATTGTCATTTCATCTGCATCGACGCCTTCCTTCTGAATCTTGACAAGCTGTCCGAATTCTGAACGCCCTTCCAAGAGATCAAGAAAATGATGCGTAGTTTGGACTAGCCATATATCTTCCTTTTTTGACTGAGCAAAGTTTCGGCGCAACCCGGCACTTTTCTTCAACTCCAACTCACGCCGACGATCTGGCAACCAATGCACCAATTGCACTCCAATGAGGGTCTTTACAACAGTCTTGCAAAGCATCTCGTTGCTGCTGGATAGAGCCACAATCATAAAGTGGATGATTTTCGTTTGCAGAGAATAGTCCTTGTGCTCTGTTTTGTAGAGTAGTTTTTCGAGAACCGACTGGGTAGTAGTCTCATCGTTGACGAAATCAAGAGAATAGGTACCAAGAAAACTACCCTCTGCAAAATGATGGGAGATCAGCAACACCAGCAGATGACACCCATGATAGAATAGTTTTGAACTGGGATTTTCTACCAAGAAAGGCCAAACTACTTCAGTCAAGGCACCTCTTTCTTCCCATTGTTTGATGTTATCCATTTGTTGAGCTTCCGTTCCATCCGTCACACATAGTTTATAAAGACTTGGAAGCGGCGGTATTTTCGCTCCCTCAATTTCGGTGTCTTTTGCAGCTTGCTGCTTTTTGGAAGGCCTACTGGAGCTATCGCTCTTGCGACGTTTTGCTGCCATGGTCAGTGTCTCGACTCACTTCGTTTGCGATAGTACCCGTAATATCACAGATCAAAGATGATGATTGATGAAGATGCTTTGGTCAATCCAATCATCCTTACTCTGCGCGACATTGCGCGATGTGCCTGAACCTTTGCTGTGTGACATAAAAAGGAGTCGGTCAGTCTCATGAATATCGAAACATGGCGGCCAAAAATATCGACTAAAATTTTCGACAGACACAAAATTCTAGTAGTAGGTGTTTGGCGCCACCAAAAATACATAGAACATTAGAGAAAGACTATTTTTTGTTGGCATCAAAAAGACGACTTGGAAAGTGGAGACTTCAAACTCTGAGATCAAACCACCACAACTGAAACCACCATGGACCTCCCGAACGAGCAAAAGCAGGTCGACTTGGCTTCTGCATACTACACAAAGGGTCGAAAATTATGGTCGAAAGGCGACAGAGACAACGCTCTAGACCTTTTCCGGAAAGCACTCGCGATACAGGAATCGATTTTGGGGATATACAACAAGCAGACGGCAAGAACATATTACTGGGTGGGATACGCTTTGAATCACAAAAAAGAATACAACAAAGCTCTTGTCGCATACAGACGGACACTTCGAATCCGTTTGTTTCTTCTTGGTGAAGACGATGCATCAACTGAAGATGTCAAGAGAGCGTTGAGAGATGTTTTGAAAGAGCAGGGGCTAAATGATGCTCGGGTTAAAACCTACATAAAGACTGTTGCCGCTGCAGTCGAGCATGAAAAGCAAGCAATAATACACGAAGAGCGGAGCGAGTATGTTGAGGCAGTTGAGGAGTACGAGAAGTACTTGGCCATTGAAGAAGCATCAGTTGGTAATTTTCCTCTGGACATCGCAAGGATTCATTCAAAGATTGCGGACATCTACAAATTGAATAAGAAAGAAACAATGGCACTCTCGTCGTACAGACATGCACTGTCGATCTTTGTTTCAAAACTAGGTCGAAGTCACTCGGATTCTCAGCACTGCATTAGCGGGATTGAAGTATGTGCGTCGATCAGAGGCCTCCCGGCATCCGAAAGTGAGCAATATGTGGAACTAGTCCTGGAGTCCATTTCATTGATCTGGCAAGGGGACGAACTGAAAAGTCGTGGAAAGGTAGATGATGCACTCAACAAGTACGAAGAAGCTTTGAAGATTGAATCGATGGCTATTGGAATATATCCCTTGACCGCAGCAGAACTACACCTTGACATAGCCCACTGCTATCGCCGCCAAAAGGAGTTTGATCGCGCAATTGTTATGTTGAGAACGGCCCTAAGTGTGTACATTTTTGAACACGACGAAGAGCATCGATCCGTAGTCTCCTGTTTGCGAGAAATTGCTTCGACATTGCAGGAAAAGGGATGCAGTAGCGCAGACATGAAGAAGTATTTGAACACAGTATCTTACTCAGTCAAGCATGAACGAAGCGGACAAACTATGCGTAATGAAGGAGACCTCGCTGGAGCTATTACAGAGTTTCAACGATCTTTGGAGCTGGAAGTTGCAGCCCTCGGGAAGTACCACCTCACCCAAGTGGCACTATACAAAGCAATTGCTCGAGCTTATGGTGCGCGGGGGGAGCACTCGTTTGCATCCAGCAGTTATCGCACTGCTTTACTCATATGCATGAAAACATTGGGGCTGGGTCACCCTACTACTCAAGCCTTGTTCAACGAAACCTATGAAGCGGCGAAAAGAGAGGGGAGCGACTGCACGACCATAGAAGCATACGAGAATCTGGTATCTTCATCGATTGAGCTTCAGATGACGGGAATCGAGCAATTGGAGCAAGGACAATATGTGAAAGCTTTTGCTACATTTCGTAAAGCGATCGTTGCGCAAGAGGAAGTAAGCGGGCAATATCACATATGTACCTCCGACTTGTATTCAAATGTAGCAAAAGCTCTGTTTCACGCTGGGCAGGACGAAAGAGCCTTGAAGAAATATCGTGAATTGCTGGCCATACATCAATCTGCGTTTGGACCGAATCATCCCAGCTCTAAGCGTGCGCTCCAAGGAATCGGCGAGACATTGACTTCGAAACGGGTGAAAATCGAAATCGCGAATGAATATAGCGAGAAAGTGATTGAGTCTATTGCTCATGAACTCACGGGAGATAGCGAAATTAAACAAGATCTCTACGATCAGGCAATTTTGTCGTATGAACAAGCCTTGAAGACAGAGCGAAATTTGCTCGGGGAATCCTACCTTACTACAGCAGGACTATTGGACAAGCTTGCAAGCGCATATAGACTTCGAGGGGAACATCACCAGGCCATTCTGATATACAGGAAGTCAATCCAGATTTATCAGTCCTATGATGAGCCAGAATATGGCGATACCCAAGGGACATTGAAGCATTTGAGCCTTTCAATTCGGTCTCTTGGATTCAACATGTCGGCTGTTGAAAGATACCAGCATTCTATCCAAACCTCGATCGCATATGAAACTCAAGGAGACGCTGCTCTATTGACAGGGAACAGTGCCAAGGCCGTGAGCAAATACCAAATGGCGATTGACATTGAAGAAAATAGTCTTGGGAAGCTTCATCCCACAACTTCTTCGTTCTACAAGAAGATTGCTGACATCAGTCGCGACAAAGAGGATTTCGAATCAGCACTTCTTTTCTACAGTAAGGCGCTGGCAATCCAAGAATCTTATCTAGGAAAAGACAATGAGGAGACTGTGACGACTTACAACCAACTGATGAATGCAGCTCAAAAACATGGATCTAAATCTGGAGCGAGCCTCGAGGGTTGGAACATGCTGAAGTATGTTCTGATGGGCTTGATTGGCTTGCTTGTTCTGATCATTACTGTGGCAAAAAGCATATCCACTAGCCAGAGGACCATAAAGAGACTGAATATCGCAGCATATGATGATGTCGAAGATTCTAAAGATGAAGACCCGGACGACAAAGAGGGCGATAATCCAAAACGTCCGCTTGAACCACCAGAAGACCGCCATATTTCTCGAGGTCCATGGAGTGCCAACTCGAGCAGTTACGAAACCATGAGTGAACGTTTTGATAATCTGCCCGGGGATTCCAGGTCTCCCTCCATTTCTCGGAGGCTTGCTGGGAAGTCTGTGGGTGGAGAAAACTTTGAGCTCGACAAATCGGTGATTCTGAAGCCTTCGTTAAGCAAGGAGGAACCTTCCAGTTGGAGGTCTGCGAAGGATGCAATAGTTGCGCCTGAGAAAACGACAAGTTTGAAGGGGGCTTATAGAAAGGAAGATGACCATGTTGGAGCCACTGTTGTGAACCCAATATTTTCGTTGGAAAAGGCAGCGCAACGGAAACAACTCCCCTCGAGGAAAGTCGGTGAAGATGGGAGCAACCCTGAAATTGAGACAAAACCTATTGCGTTAAAAGTAGATGGAATGGCTTCACCTTTAAGCATCAAGGGCGAGGTGGAAACAAAAGACGATGGAGAAAAAGAGCGAGAATCAAAGAGTCCTGTGCCAAAAGAAGATGGTGTTGGTGGAATTCTAGGTGACGCATCAAAGAACACAACGGATACTGGCGGCGAAGATTCCAAGATGAAAAAGTCTCCAACTGAAGGCGTTGTTTCTAGAAGCTCGGTTGAAGAGGGACAAACCTCGTCGGGCGAAGAGACTATACCTGATGTTGCTGATAGTGAGGACTTGATGGATAACCAGGACGACAAACCATCGGTATCGACGGAGACCAAAACACAATCTTGGGACGAAGTACTGAATGTTCCGCAGCAGTCAGAGGAGGTCAAAACCCCATCTATTGATGAGAAAATAAAATCTCAGAAAACACTGAAGAAGAAGGACGATAAAGGTGCCGGAGGGAGTCTGAGCAACATGCTCAAAAAGTGGAGAAATAAAGCTGATAATGAAGAGGGTGATATTGAGGAAGAAGCTTCCGGCCTGGACAACCGGATCAAACAGTGGAAACAGGCTGCTGATAGAGCGAGTTCAAGACACCTGGGCGCGTAAAGCAGCACTTCTACATGTTATCCGGCTACTTGGATTAGGCATATCCACTTGCTTTGTGTTTTGGCAAGAATTTGAAATCCTCGTCGACTTTTCCAAGAAGCATCTCTGATATCTTGATCCAATCGTGACTGTTTGGCGACATGAACAGTGTTTCCAGCTCATCGCGTCCGATCATGTGTGCAGGTGGGCGTTTGTTCATTTGTTGGGGTAAAACTTCCAACAAACCAACTGGTACATAACGACAAAGGAAAGAGAGCCATTCCAACAGGAATCTCCGTGTGTTGTTCACGCCTTGCTGATCTGAGCCCCAGTGCTCTAGTCCAAAACGAACAAAGTCCTTCAGGATATCCAGTCGTTCAGACGAGGAGATGTCCCAGTGTCTGCGCTCCTTAATTTCAGTGGGAAGCCAAGGCTTGATTAAGGCTCCCCTGCCAATCATAGCAGTCGCATTGATTCCTTCGCGAGCTATTTTTTCCTCATAATCTGTGTACGAAAAGATATCTCCGTTACCAATAATTGGAATTTTCTTATAGTCTGGGGACTGACTATTTGCGACTTGAGATATGTAGTCCCAATCCGAAAGAAGCTGGTAGCGCTGGAGACGAGATCTTCCGTGAACCTAAAAATAGAGGGGGACGGGTTAGCGACAACATTAGTGACAACCATCTCACCTAGAACTGGGTCATTGTCTAACGAGCACTCACCATGATAGCAGCAAGCCCGTCAATCTCCCAACTTTGGATCTTGGGCACTAGTTTGTGAGCAAATGGGTTCTTCATATCCCCTGTGATTAAAGACGATAAAATGTCAAAATCGTGATGGTAGTTCGTACTTCAGAGAACTCCAATACTTACATCCTGTTCGAATCTTCACCGTGATTGGACATGTCACACTACGCGATATGCCTTGAAGTGCTCCTTTCAGCTTCTTTTCCTTCATCATCAATGCAGCTCCAGCTCCCTTTTGACAAAGTAAATCCAGAGGGCATCCCAAGTTGAGATCAATAAAGTCACAGGTTGTGTGCTTTTCAATCACCTCTGTCACTCTTGAATACTGATCCGGGTGAGCTCCTGCTACTTGGATGCCAAAGACATCTTCTTCTGGGTGCCGCTTCAACAGAGCCCACTCCGAAGTCTTGCCCTCCAACAAGCAGGTAGCCAAAGCCATTTCACCACAAGTAATGTCGGCTCCATATCGCTTCATAATTCTTCGGAATGGTAGATTACCTACTGTTGTTAGAGGAGCCACATAAACTTTCTGGGAAAAGTCAATAATCTTTCGTGTTTTCAGTTCCACTGGAGTGTGCGTGGCTGCTTCCGTCTTCACTTCCGTCGCCTCCGGTTTTGCCGACTCTTCAGCATCAGGCTTAGTATTGTTGTCCCTTTTACTTTCATCTTGCTCAAAGTAACGCCTGCAAGAAAATGGATACTTCTTTTTTCGGAGTTGGGCCTGAACTTCCTTTGGGAAAATATTCATTGACACATCCTGAAGAGGACCATTTGCGCTACTATTCGCCTGATCTCTCTTGATGTTTACTCCACTCTTTGTGATATGGGATAATCCAAATCGGCACATTGCACCAAAGGCGCAGTGGCCTTGCTCCTTAAAGATTGGGCATAAGCCATCATCCAACGTTTTGATATCCTCTGGCCGAGTCTTCATGAATCCTGCCAAATCATGTGAGTATCTACACTTGTCTTCGCCATATGGACATTCTTGGCCTCTGATCACAGCAAGGCATATCTTTTCAGAGTTATCTTTGCGAGCATCTCGAGGGCGTTTCTTGTTGCGTCCCTTCTTGCGCTGCTTTCCTGAGGTTCTCTTTGTTCCATCAATCCGGTTTGGATCCTCGCCTTCTGCGGAAGGCGGGAGAGGCCCAAGAATTTCAGGGCGTTTCGAAGTGATGAATTCAGGTTTGACTTGAAGTGAATGTTCTTTGTTTCGTCCATTATCAGTCCTTCTGGTGTTGCTTTCTGCCGCTGGAGCGGCCTTGTCGCTTGTTTCACTCATCTTTTGAAGATTTTCTGAGCAGAATGTAATTGAGGGATGTGGTGATGCATGGTAAGCAAGATCTCAACCTTTTTCGGTTTCGAATTTTAATTCCGGATGGAATTTCATAGTCGAAGAACTCCAGATTCTACATTCTGTTGAACGTAAGTAGCCAGTTACGTCATTTCTACGTGGAAGAATGCCGTTTGGATTTGAGCTTCTATTTTGACACAAAACGACCACAACGATTCTTCTTGTTGACAACCCGATTCAATAAACGTCAGTGTTCACGCAAAAGACAAAGAAGAATACACAGCAAAGAGATGAAGCGTCCCTCTTTTGCCGAAGGCGTTGCAATTGCACTGCTAGTGTCACAAGCACTGATTCATACGACAAATGCTCTCATACCACAGCGGTTGTCAACCACAACGAATCATCAAAGATCATCCTCCACTTCTTCGACACACTCCATAACCAGGCTGAATGCCTTTCGACCGAACGTGAACGAGCCATCACTAAGGCATTACCGATTAATTTCCACCCAACTGTATGTTGCAGAGTTGTCCGATGAAAAACGAGAAGAGAAGCCAGAGAAAAAAAAACAATTTAAGGTTCAGATTTCCACCAGCCCTGTCAGCAAGTTTCGGAAACTCAAGGACATTATGTGGATAAGGGAAGCCGTGGAAGATCTGACAGCTGCAGAATTCGCTTGCTCGGTAGATTCTCCTGAGAGCCTTTCTGACAAGAAACAAAAGAGAGCTGTAGACTACGAAAAGCTCCTTTCTCAGTTGGACCGAAGAGTTAGTGACATGATATGTCAGTCTGTGGATGATTTGGAACTAAGCGACGTCGCGCCGACTTTAATCCGAAGCCAAGGAATGGGAAGATATGTGTACACTGATAGTCAACGGTCGGCACTATTGACGTGAGTATTGACAATGTGTTTTCGCAGACCTCACAGTTCAACCATCTCAATTTTTTAAATCATTCACACTATGTCACAGGAGGATGTTGAATACACGGGAAAAGGTACAGGCAATCACAAAAGGACATGAAGCACAAGCACAAGAAAAGGGCGATGACTTTGGAATTCAAATGCCTGAAATGCCCGATTTGACTATCGAAGTTCCAAAAGAAGAAAACTCCACCAGTTCGGGACCAAAATTGTATGTTCGAGACGATGGGACCGTTGACTGGGATGGTGCGCTCCAAGATCGGGCTGCACTAAAGAAATTTGGAGGCGCTGTATGGGCTAGAATCAATGGACAAACTGCGGATGATATATCAGAAGAAGATGATGATGAGATTGAAGCATCAGATGGGCACAAACATGCCAAACCTGCTGTGACGGTTAAAATTGAGGATACTCCAGAGATTCTAGAAGCGAGGAATGAACTAAACAACCTCAGAGAAGAATTGAAAGAATTTCAAAGGTCCCATACAGCATTGCTGAGTTCTGGAATCAGCGCGGGTCAAGCTGTTGCGAATGTGAACCTAGCCTCGTTGAAACCTGAATTGCGGGCAAAAATTCGTTCTTCTGCAACTGCACTTGAGAAATTGGAGCAGCAAGTCTCATTTCAGAGACTCGTTTATGAGTTGGAGAGAATTTATACCTATCTTGCAACAGAGCTTGGAAATCCGAATGCAAAGGGATATGTCCCACTTCAAGATAGACTGAACGTGGCGGAATATGGTCTGTTGGAGAGTCAGATTGAAGGTTGCAGTCGCGACTTGGAAGATAAGGGGGATATCGACGAAGACATTCTTGCTGTGATTGCAGAGCAAATGACAGATTTCAAACGACGACTTGGTATTGATTATTATGTATCGGGGCTCTCATATGATAAGGAAGCAATCCAAACTTGGTTGGCTGATGTTCTTGCACAGGCAAAAAGCGGAGTTGCGTTTTATATCAAGGGAACTCGCCTGCTGTGGAACGATGTCCTATACTCTGTAAGCCTGATTGCCCGAGCTGCGCAAGGGTATACGTTGAAACCACGAGAAGTTCGAAACCTGAGGTGAGTGATTCATTCAACACATTGATTATTTTGTTCAATTGACGTCGCAAAACGTTTCTCAATTCTTCCTATGAATAGGCGTACCTTCAAGGATATCATCACTTTCATTCCATTTGTTATCATTCTTTTGATCCCGCTTTCGCCTATTGGACACGTGCTTGTTTTTGGAGCTATCCAACGGTTTTTCCCAGACTTCTTCCCAAGCTGTTTCACCGAGCAACGGCAGAATCTTTTGAAGTTGTACGAAACCACCGAGTTTTCCGAATTCACCATCAACGAGAATTTCAAGGAAAGATTCTCAAGGGCTTTGGAGGCTATTGGCTTCCTAATAGCGAGCCGATCTAAAATGCTTTATTCCTCTTTGTTGCGCGGATCAAACAATGACGACGATTCGACCGAAACAAATGGTGCAGAAGGGAAGCCATGACGACAATGAATGGATCACTTAGCAATGTACAATAGTTCCTGTGAAATCTAGCTTCATCTTCTACACCGGCAAGACGGAAAGGGCAAAATTAACGTACGATAACAAGGTCACTGTCACGCCATACACGTGTACACATACAATCATTACACATGAAAAGGCACAGTAGATAAAAGAATGCTCATAGCTTTAAAACATCAATCACAGTCTTGAGACTATCTCGGGATGCAATAACATTCTTTTTGGATCGTTCAATGAACACCTGTACTCGATCTTTACCGCCTCCAGGATTTGCTTCACCCCAACTTGAAATGAATGCCATACTAGACGCCTCTTCGGCATTCTGATTAAAAACTTCCATAGCTTCATAAAAATCACCCTCCCTATCATCTGGAACCAAGTTCTTCAATCGCATCATAGTTAAATCTGCCTTGTAGAGTGGGTCCCTGATATCCTTGAATCCAAGGTAGTCCATAACCTTGAGTGGCGTGCGCTCACATCTGTCCCCAAATGTTGTTTCCTGTCCTGTTCTACATACGGTGGTTTCCTTCTCCCAATTATCTAAGAGGTACTGTAGTCGATCGTAGCCCTTAACAATGTTATCCTTGTCCTTTTGCTCTTGAGAGGCAGAAGCCGCAGAACTGGAATCAGGAAGTAGAACGAAGGATCCAATGCCACCGAGAAGGCCAATGAAATCTCTTCTCACTTGATTATTATTAGTAGGAGATGTCAAACCAATTGTGGTTGGCGTACTACAAGCTAGCAGCAACAACGAAAGCTTCAACATCGTGGTCGTTCCTTTTTTCTTAGCGTCGTTGAATTGCGTCAGTGATGATTGATTTTATGGATTCAGAATGAGGGGGATAAATATAAAAAGGGGCACACAAAAATATCACTGGATGGACCAAAGAGGAAGCTAGACTGGATGGGGCGGTAAAGAGGGCTCTATTTTGGCCATGCTCTTGTTGGAGAGCAAGTGAGTGAAATTGAAGCTGTCATTGCTGCTGTCTTTTTTGTTGTAAGTTCGAATTTTGAAGATGGTGCTGTGAAGCAATGTTCGAATGCTCGAGTGATTGATTCATTCAGTCGGGTCGTACTACTCTCAGCAACGGAATCGGCACCGTGTGCTCCAGCGGTAAGTCGCATTCTTATTTTGAAGATAGCAATGTAAACACAACCAAAAAACGCATCCCTCTGTGCCATTGGCATCAAAATGCGCGGTATTTATAATCTGCCGGTTTTGGTGGGATTTCTTGGGGTTTTTCGAGGTTTGAGTCGAGTCAGAGTAGTCAAACACTTGACGTAGATCAGCCCGCCCATTTCAATGACCATACCAAATCTATCCAGCCGCGGTAAGTCACATTCTTAAATTTTGAATACATCAATATATAATATATCGACACAACAAAAATCGAATCCATCTGCGCTATTGGCGTCAAAACGCGCGGTATTCTTAAAATTCCAAATTTTTCAAATCTGTCGGTTTGAGGGTGAGTTTTTCGTGGTTCGAATCAGAGTAGTTAGTTAAACTGTACACGTACGAGTAGATGCCACAATGATGGGATGCTGTGAGAAAGTTCTTTATTATTGGTAAACCTCCTGCACATTGGCAAAAATATAGTATCAGTCATTCTTTCCATCAGCTTTGGAAGCCTTTATTCTTTCTTGCTTGATGTTGTAGGACCGTAGTATCGCCCCCATTAGGTTGACATTGGCAAAGAAATACACCACAGAGGCAAACCAGACGACTCGATGGACAGCCATCCCTTGCATCTCCAAGCAGTAGGCGGACCCCAACCACATACCAATAGAAAGTAGTAGACCAACCAGTGCAAATATAACCTCTCGCGTCAATGCTAGTGCATCACTGCAAAGTGGTAGCAAACAGAGGTACCATGTAAAATATTGCGCCGTAATGACTTTGTTGTGTGTCACAAATAGATATGTTTGAACAAACAAAGCCAAGCCCAGATTGCGTGAAGCAATTCCCAGACTGGAATACACTAGCAGTACTATTTGAGGTAGCAGTAACATCCGGCTAATGAGACCCAAGTTGGATCCTGATTTCGCCAAAGCCAGATAGATCCAATACCAGTACATGGAGTAGTTGTGTCGATGATCCACCCTGGTAAAATGATACAGCAACCCTTCTTGCAAGGCGACTTCGCCATATATTCTTACACCCAACCATGTGAGTCCACCAAAGGTAGCAAGTGAGGTGATTAAGAAGAGTAGAGGAATAGGTGTAAACAGTCGGCGAATCCAAAGCTGCACCAGCCGCAACAGTCGTTTTGGTTCGAACCAAGGAAATCCAGCACCGACATTGTCACAGTTGATTTGAACAAAGTGAACCATATAAGACAACGTATATATCACTGGATATAGCTTGGAGTGTATTGCCACCCCATGTGATAGACCAGCCAAGACAGCTCTCTTCCAACCGATTGACTTTTCATCGTAGCTGAGTATTTGAACGGTCAGCAAAACTGGTAATAGCACCATGAGACTTTCTGCCGACCCCCTTGTACAAATGTTGATTGCCAAAGGATTGTAGAGCCACCAGATCCCATCCTGCAACTGTGTGAGTCGATTCCTATTTTCAGATGGTGGTCGCCGTGATTTTCGAAACCGTAGAATGATCCAACCACAAATCGTGTCGGCAATGCAAAAGAGATATCTCCCGGCTTCCTTGGGTATATATGACAAGAAAGCAGCAAGAAATGGAGTGTATCGATAGGTATGTCGGTCGTAGGGCGACTTCCCCATGGAGATATACCTGGCCGCATCCGTAAAGACATGAAAGTCAATATCGGTGTAAGGAACTTCACTGCCATCCATGAGCCAAGGCAAGAACCATGCGAGAATTATCCGTATCAGAAGTCCATTGAGTATTGGATGATTTGCGAGGAAGTCTATTATTGGGTGACTGAGGATTGCTTTTGGTATCATGGTGCTGTGGTATCCTTGGTTGTGCATTCCTCTCCATGTGTGTGAAATTTGTCTGTCGTAGCAATCGGACTAATCGAATAATCGAATCTTGCAAAAGACCGTTGAAACGAAACACAAACGCAATCACGCGATACTCAATACGAGTACGTGTACTGGTTTGTCATTGACTTGTACTGGTACTTCCTCTATATAAACGGGTTCGCAACGATTGTGCAAAGGTTATATCGGCAGCATGGCAGAGGCAAACATTGAGAACGAAGAGCCCCAAAGCACGATTTCTTCCAAGGAAGAAGACAATGAGCCCATGAATCCAGCACTGACGGAACCAGATGCCATGGCAATTGCCCAGAGGGCCGAGAGTTCCGCTGCTCCTACAGTCTCCCCAAGACGCAAGAAGGATTTACTAGTCCAGTCACGAAAGGATCGGAGGAAGTGGATTCAAATGGTCCCATTGCCGTATACACAAGCTAGAGATCCTACCAACGTTTGGTCATTGGACGATCGCTTGAATGGAGTCCAGTCCTCATTGGCCTGCAAACGCCTATCTTCTGCCACAAAAGTCTTGTCGGAACTATATGGACTAGAGAGCAATACAAAATCTGCAGAAGAAGTGGCACAACGAGTGGAGGCATTGGTGAGTTTCTAGGTTTTTGTTATTTGGCATTTTGCACCCTTTTTCTCAATCTTCCGGACGCATCTATCCCATAGATTCAACCATTCAACACAGATGAGGCGCTTCTTGATGGAAGTCCTGAAGTCCTAACCGAGGCCTTGAGCAAAGACAATAGTGAGATTGTCAAACACTATCATGAATTTTGGTCCAAGCTGTTGAACCCAGAATGTGCCATGCTAGTACAGGGAATGCGCAACTACATTCGCAATCTAAAGGACATTACAGATATGGAAAAACTTGCAAAATCTTTGCAAACTTATCTTGATAGTACTTTTGAAACAATTACCACTCATGTTGCTTGGAACGATCAGCTGGATGAATACGTTGGGCGATCCTTGGAGTCTTGTGTGTATGGACACGCAAAAGGACATTTGGATACATTGGAATGGAACACATTGTTTACCATGGAGGAGAAAGACTGGATTGATCGACTCGAAAAACTCCAGTTTTTGACGGCGTCGCATTTGGAAATCAAATGTCTTGAAGATCCAAACTTGAAAATGGACGAAATATTGAAAGGACCCATTGAGGCTATGCTTGCGATTGATCGATACTTTTCACCTTTTGAAAAACTGCAATGTGTCTTGGCAGTCTACAAGGGCGTGAATGAGTCCTTGACGGAAGCATTGAATCAATCTCAAGGAGATGAGAAGACGTTACCAAGCGCGGATGATGTGTTGCCTACCATCATTCTGACCGTACTGAAGGCCAAACCAAGTAAAATGTTCCGCAGTTTGCAATTCATAGACACCTTTGCCACATCAGAAAACATGCGCGGAGAAGCAGGGTATGCTTACACCAACCTGTACGGAGCTGTGCAATTCTTGCATGATTTGGACATGGACAAACCAAACTTTTCAATCAGCACCGAAGATTTCCGTAAAGGCATCGATGAGTCCATGTCGAAGATGAAACAAAAGACTGTCGAATCCAAGGAGGAGAAAATATCTGCTGCTGATTCGGAGCCATCTGTCGTTGAAATCTCGGTGCAAGATGTCCGAAATAGTCGACAGAATGGGGATGAAATTGATTTGGTATGGGCATTGGAGCGGCAGCAACAACATCTTGCCGCAAAGGCACTCAAGGAAGACGACGACGGAGCGAGTCCCTTTTCTGTATCACTCCCAAGTGGTTTTAATCGAACCTATTCATTTCTAGGCACGAAACCAGAAGACATTCGGATATCTGACTTGCCACACTTGTTGCAGGAATACAAGATGCTGGCACATGTCACCGAAGAGCTGTTGGGTGAGCGGGCTGCGCTTTTGGCTGCGGACAAGAAGAAGCGAGTTGCACAACGAAAGAATAATGTCGAGGATATTCTGATTGGACAGACTGGGAATTTAAACAAAAAGTAACAAGCAAAGTACCAGGTACTGTACAGTTCTATTCCATTACAATGTTATCCTCAGTACTTGTAGTTCAGTTTCAGTCCAATTTCTGTTTCTGAAAAGGGGATCATGATATGATCCTAACTGGGGGATTCAAATTATTGGGAATCGAATCTTTGAAAGATCGCCCTCGATCATGGATACTGCAGATGAAAGTATTGTTGTCAACAATAGTAATGCTCCCGCTGCTACCGTGGTGGGGAACTAGAAATCTAGACAATCGTACTAATTGAATCCATCATCGCGAAAATGTTGACCAATTCTGGCGAAAAAGCGTGAAAGCGAGCAGAAATTGAAATGGCCGAGCAGTACGATGTGATCATTGTCGGGGCTGGTGTTGCTGGGGTTTCTGCTGCCTACCATTTGGTTCAAGCTGGAGTCAAAAATGGGAGAATCCCTAAGATTCTGGTGATAGATGGAGGTCCTTCCGCAGGAGAAGGATGGGGTTCTCGAAAAAGTGGTACCGCGACTATGAACAACTATCCCATTTCGAAGATCAAAATGATGACTCAATTATATGCCGTCCCAACTGTAGAGGACTTTGCGAAACACCACGGGGTCGAGGGAGTGAGGCGATACCTCACCGCTACTCAAGGAGACATTCGGATTCAAAAGGCTTTAGCGAAAAAACTTCAGACAGGCTGCTCTCAGGAAAAATAAATCTTGACCGAAATGGGTTCATACTACGTTTGCTATCCAAAAGATCGTGACGACCTTTACGCTGATTATCAGTTCTACAAGAAATTGAAGTGCTGTAAGAATTGTCAATTCGTAGATGCTGATCATTTGTCAGAGATTCCCGGATAGAGTCCCAATTTCTCCCTTGGCATGTACTTTCCAGACGACGCTGTGATTGACTTTTCTCAGTATGCAAAGCGACTCTTGAAATCTCTTACTTCGAACGCAGATACAAACGTGACTGTCATCTTCGATACCAAGGTGACGGAAGTCGTGGACAATAAGCCATCTGATGGTGCCGTGATATTAGAATCAGGAGAAACTTTGAATGCAAAAGATGTAGTTGTGACAGGCGCTTTGGGATTTGCTGTGACATTAATCAAGCCGTGCTACTCGTACCTGGCGCATGTTCACGTCGATAATCCAAAGTATGACAATGTCCAAGAATTGGCTAACTTTTTTACTTGGGGCTACAGCCATGATTGGTGCTTTACTCGTACAAATGGAGTCTGAGTTTCGGGAGAGGATCATTTCAGTGCCTATAAGGATCACAAATGTGAGGAGCGATGCGGGCGAATAATTGATTGGGTAACTGCGATCCCGATGATTGCTTTGGCAACGGTGGTATCCCGCAGCAATATGGGCTTTACTCCGAAACAACCGATGCTGCGCCTTCACTGGGAAAGAGATCTGACGAATCTTTACTCTGTTATCTTTTGGGGTGCAACGCCTGGGGTCAAGCCACTCTCTCCTATTGCGCTTCTTTGGAACCTGGAATTCTTGCATCTGCCGGAACGAACGATGGTAGAGAAAGTGGGCTGACGGAGTTTCAGCATGGATTTCAGCCGATTTTCCGAGCTCCCACACTAGAGTTTTGTGGTGTCACTTGGAAGTGTTTCTATGCTTCGACACTTCGCTGCTGTCCACTACAGCTTCCGCCCGATGACGATACCAAGCAAATCCAGCCAAGCCTTGACCTAAATAGTAAGCAGTCCACGCGTACCAGATTCCCTGCGGACTGCTAAGATTCAGGAACCTAGTTGAAAGACAAAGAAAGTTTGCAACCCACAAAGTGCAAAAGGAGACCCCCCATTCCTTTCGACCGAGTATGATGCCATTCATTGGAAACGCAAATCCCTTTGTAACTACAAAAGAAGCCATCGTTAGACACGCTTCACAATTTCACAATGCTATTTTGTTCAATCATACTTACGTTGCGCGACAAGAAAGGCAGGGACTACTCCAATTGCAGCTGCGTAAATCTCCGGGCTCTTTGTAAAACTATTCAATATCCTCCTGTGAAAGATATAGAAAAAGGCAGAAAACCCTCCACTCACAATAGCTCCTGCTGTGAATGATTGTTTGCGGATGTAATGTTGCAGCCTGCTGTTATCAAGAGAGTCATGAGAGGAATGTCGAGATAGTAATGACTGCGTTGCAATCGATAATCCTTCACAGAGCATCGTTGCCCAGAAACCTAGCTGATATAGAATACTGTAAGAACTTGCAGCAGAGGGTCCAAGTTTCGCCTAAGGAGTGACAGGATGCCAAAAAGTGGTTGAGGAAATCGAAAGGGGCATTGAATGTAAGAAAGTATTGAACTCACAGACTGCCTCGAGCAGTACGAAAAGGCAGTGATTCTTGCAATCGACCTTCCCATAAGGAGACTTCCAGCTTTGAAGTAGTCAGACAGGCCCTGGACTATTGCACTCAAAGGTTGCGCAAATGGATTTAGTTTTGGTATCTTCTTCTTCAATATCAGAAACATTGGTAGAAGTGCTAGTGTTCGAGATACTGCGGATGACATTGCCGACCCCCTTAATCCCATTTTGAACCACCCTATGAATACGAAGTTACTGAATAGATTGACTACATTGAGAAGAAGGGCACAGAACAGCGGAGTTGAAGCGTCTCCAAGTCCTGTCACAAACTAGGTGAGATGGTGATATCATTGTCAAATGAAGGTGGTATTCCTACATACCTCTCAATATGTTTGTCCCCACAAGCCAAAGCGTTGTAGCAGGCATCGCTAGGACATCTAGTCTCAAGAACCCAAGGGCGGGTAGAAACATAGAACTCCTTTCGTCTATCCCCGCGAGACCTAGGAGTTGATGCGAACCAGCGAGAAACAGGAAGAGTTGTGCAAAGCCAATGAAGAGAGCGAAATTCAGCGTAGACGCGGCCGCATTGGATAGATCCTTGCGGTCTTCTGTTCCCATTGCCGATGCTATCATCGATACTGATACCTTGGAAAGTGGGGAATTCAGAAGTTTGGTGCATGACTTTTGAGTTGACTTGGCAACCCCAATAGCTCCAAGTGAACTCGCATCGATTTCTGAGAGGAACATTCCATCTACGATATCTCCAAATGGTATCGAGGCTTGATGAACAAAGGACCAAAACGATATCAACAGGAATTCAGCCTTGATATTCTTCTCTTTCTCGTCATAGGTTGGTTGGTTTGATCTGACTTGTCCAGATGATAATTGTTTCTGATCAGTCAGAGACCTGTGGGAGATAAATGACTGGGCTTGTCTTGGACTCAATAGTACTGCGAATAAGGAAATTGACAGGGAAACTCGCATTCTCTTTCCCATGGTTCCACTGCTCGACTACAGCATTTTATGTTACACTACTGCAGGTCGAAAATGTTGCGTCCAAAAATGAAAATGTCACGAAGTCGAATGAATCAATGAATTCTGGCTCGCTACACCGACCGGCTATTTATCGTCAATGCAAATATTTAGAAGTGTTGAATAGACGCGTATATTCTGTTCTAAAGGTTGCTATAGAGTATCATCAACTGGGAAGAGCTTGTCTTCTTTAAATAGCCTCAGAACGTTTCCATCAACTTGTTCAATTCTTCCCCTTAGATATGAAACTTCATCCCCAGTCTTTTGGTTCTTCTTGCCTGTTACGAGTGACCATGTAGGTACCCTCGCGTTGGTGCCGTGGCATAGGCAACATGTTGTGTGATTGTAGCCAAAATAGTTTTTCGCCAGTCGGATTTTTCATCATCTGCTTGCTACCACTTAACCCCGATCGGAGCACACAATCGGAGACAGCATTGATACTACAATCATAGCCGCGCCACAATAGCAACGAGACCGCTTCAAGTTGCGTGTCATACTGGCCAACGCGACAATCAAACGTAGGCAAGGAATGTAGAATGGAAACAGGATCGATTCCCTTTTTGTGACATGCAGCCACTAATTCGTACTGGAACCGAGCTGTAACTGTGGCAGCTGCCAGAGAGCAATACTTTTGCAAGCGACCGCTGTACATGTGCACCTGCTGTTCGCCTCGAACAATGGAGGCTGGGGCTATCAGGACGGTTAACTCATCAGACTGAGTATATCCACAAGCTCCGCTGAATTTTGTCATCAAGTCAAGACAACAAGATTGCATTATTGATCCAAAGTCTTCGGAATAATCTTGACTGATGACGCCTTCCTCCGAAGGTGTCTTGTCAGCTTGCTAAAGCCCGTTCCATCACAGCGGAGCGAGATCCATTTATCCCCTGTTATTTGGGCGCAGCTGGGCTGTTCAGCTTTCTTCAGGGTGTCGCCAAGTTTTGACCAGTCACTTTTTGAAATGAATGGAGGCAGCTCATGCAACACGGGAGGAAAACCATTAAAATAGTGATACTGTCGCTCTTTCAGCATTGTTTGAGTCTTTCGTGCCACACTTTTCAGCGAGGCGGACTCTGATACTGTCGAAGTCATTTCGGGATTTTGAAGATGTTTCATTGTCTCTTTTGACAAATAATGAGCAACAAGCAAAGCAGCAATCCGAAACGTGCGGCAATGAGACGGCGCGTCGTCCAATGTATGGGACGGTAGACCTACACCTCCATTGTTGCCTCCTCCAGCATATCCGCCCCTGGGCTTTCAGACAAAGGAACCTCGTTTCTAGTGGACTCAAATGAATTGACCCTTGGGCTTTGGGTCAAAGGCACTTCGTTTTTAGTAGCCTCCAAAGAATTGACCCTTGGCCTTTCGGACAAAGGTGCCTCGTTTATAGTAGCCTCAAACGTATTGACCCTTGGCCTTTCGGTCAAAGGTACCTCATTTCTAGTAGCCTCAAACGAATTCAACCTTGGCCTTTCGGACAAAGGTGCCTCGTTTCTAGTAGCCTCAAAAGACTTGACCCTTGGGCTTTCGGTTAAAGGTACATCGGTTCTAGTAGCCTCAAACGTATGGACCTCTGGGCTTTCGGTCAAAGGTACCTCGTTTCTGGTAACCTCAAACATATTGACCTCTGGGCTTTCGGTCAAAGGTACCTCGTTTCTGGGAACCTGAAACGTATTGACCCCTGGGCTTTCGGTCAAAGGTACCTCATTTCTAGTAGCCTCAAACGAATTCAACCTTGGCCTTTCGGACAAAGGTGCCTCGTTTCTAGTAGCCTGAAACGTATTGAACCCTGGGCTTTCGGGAAACGAAGGTAGATCGTTTCTACTAGTAGGCTCTAGCATAATGGCCCCTGGGCTTTCGGACAAAGGTAGCTCGTTTCTAGTTTCCGACAGCTTTCTCCTCCTTGGCGATGATGAAACAGTGTTGGTGCCGTCGTCAGCTCTCCAAGAATCGGGATGAAAGCCTGCCCACATGCACACTAGAGCCTCATTGAGCTGAGCTTGGATGTTGTTCAGAGGCAGATCATTTGGAACCGTGTAGTATGGGTTACTCAACTCGCGAGCTACTTCATGTGTACCAAGAAAACAAATGACTGTGACCGCGTTGAGTGTACATGCGACGGCCAGATTACCAACAAATCCAGCAAAGAGTAGAGGAAAAATGAAAATCGAAAGAAAGGTAAAGAATACTGTCGCTTGGTGGTGCGGAAAGGGAAAGGGCACAAATGCAATTTTCCGACAGTGGTTGTAACTTTTTTTTAGGGAAGGCGACACAGATTGAAATAAGCGACGGGTCAAAGAGGATACTGTACAATACAGAGATGATCTGTGCGTACTTACGCTGAGATTCCATCAGAGAGGAACTGATACACCCTTGAAATAATTGGCGGAGCAACTTTACCAGTAGAGCCATGCAGATGTTCACGACTGATGAATTCCTTCAACCACATGCTGCAGAGAGCCATCCGTGCCGATGGACCATTGGCCTGCTGCAACATACGTGCCTCGTTGTCGCTTATGCCGCCAATCACTCGAAAAGGCCGAGCGGCATTGTATAGAGTACGTCGGAGTTGACTCTTTTGCAAACCTAAAATGTAATACAAGAAACCCCAGATTGGGTTTGTTTCGTAGTATTGCATCTGGATATCAGAGCTCAATTCATCAGGATTCACGGGAGGTAAAGGTGCTCCTGGTATGTAAGGAGCAATCGGAGATTCCGCTCCTTCGACATCGCAACGAAGTGTCGACATGGCCACAGCAGATAGAAGACTATACAAATGTGCTGCTTCTTGAAGGAACAGCGAAGGTGTTTGACTTTCAAGTCCAGTCAATTGGAGCAAGCGGTTATCTGGATCATTTCCAGCTGCAAAAGAGGCACTCCATCGCTTCTGTGATACATTGGATGTTGTGCTTGTCTGTTTGCGAAGCTTTGCTGGTAAGAATTTTTTCAGAGTCTTTGAGGAATTATTGGATCTGTGCCGTCCTGTAGCTGCATTAGGTTGAAGTCGTTTGCCTTGTTCCCATCTTATGTGTGATTTCTTTCTTTGTTTCTTTTCACCAGACCACCATTTCTTCTTTCCATCCTGTTCAGGGACACTGGTGATTGTGTCCCTTGTTACCATTCGTTGCTTCAATCTCTCTCGATCCCGAGTTTCATTGCGCACTTTAGGGTTAGCACCAAACGCAAGCGGTCGTCTATCATCGTATTGCTTGGCTTGATAATGAAATGCAGCCAAAACGATCGCTGAATCTAATAGTTTGCTGGTCATCACGTGAAGTTGGCTTGCGGCTTCCCAATGCTGCAGATCACATCATCGGCATGAGATGGCAAGTAATATTTCGTACAATACCGCCTTGGCATAAACTTACCCGATGATAGGAATAATTCAGTCGAAAGACCAACAGGAACCCAATAATCACGACAAAGACGGCCAGTGAATAAGGATGCACAAAGGTGGCTCTATTTTCCAGCCGTTCATCCAATGTATAATCGTACAAAACAAGCATACCAGTGCTGATTGATGCTGGTATGATAGCACGAAAGACAGCTGATCCATGCCATACGAATAGTGTCGTCAATCCAAAACCATCGCTCTTGTAGGTTATCATGCTGAAGCAGTTTCGAGGATAATCAACTGGCGCCTTCCGTTCGGGTTCTTCTGCCTGGTGATTCTTGGAGTGGCGTAGGTGGTTTGTGGTGGGAAGCCAATCCTTTTATTTGGAGTTGTGTGTTTTAGAGTGTAACAGAAAAATTGCAGTAGTCGAACGGGTCGAATTAAGAGATTCAAACATTTGCGTTTGTTTCAAAACATTTCTGACACTCCAATAGAATGACAATGGCAGTGATGGATGACCTTTACGAGCTGATACAGCGGAGGAATAGACAGGAAACAGACCCCTTCATAGAGATTCACCAAGCAAACGCCACTTTATTGAAACAAATTGACGCTCTCAAGACGAAATGCAATGACTTGGAGAGAGAACTGGTGATTGAAAAGGAACATCATCCAGCGGACAGCGCATCGAATGGGGGAAGAGGGGCAGTCCCTCAATCATTATCTCTGAAACAAGAAACTAAATTACGAGAAAAGTTGGAGAAATTACAAGAAGAACTGAATGAAAAACTGAAGCAATCTGCAGAAGGGCAATCCAATATCCTTGAATTGACGCAAGAGATTTCCTCGTTGAAGGATCTGAACGTGGCCCAAGCCTCCACCATTGCCAATTTGAAGGCAGAGAATGAAAGAAAAGAGAGCGCGATTGACCACATGACCAACGAACTAGTCGATGCCAAATCCAGAACCAAACTTGCCGAACAACAATATACAGGCTTGAAAGACATGATCCGAGTTTTGCAGGATGAAAACGACTCTCTCAAAAAGGAGAATGAGCAATTTTCCTCGCGAATGGTCTCGGAGAAAGAGAAAATGATAGACGAAATGAACAAACTGACCGAAATGGTGGACAAATACAAGCGAGAAGTTGACCTTTTGCATTCTTTGAAAGAACAAGACGACAAGCGCAAGTCCTGGTTCAAACTTGGAGGCAGGATCAACCAAGAGGAAGGTACAGATGGCGATCAGGACGATGGTGAAAGCCGCAAATTTGGATCCTTGGCAGTAGTTGTTCCTTCTGCACCCATGCATACAATCCAAGCCCATAAGGGAGATGCCTCTTGCGTCCAATACGATGCCTCTGGAACGGACCTGGTAGCCACGGGTGGTGCCGATTCCATCGTCCAAGTATGGGATACGGCCAGTGGTCAATTGCGACAAACCTTACGAGGTGGAAGCAGCAATTCTATATTATCTTGTGACATTAGCAATGGGGTAGTCATTGCTGGTGGAAGTGACAAGACGTGTCGGGTTTGGAATATGAGGACTGGGAGAATGGTACGAACGGCACGGATTTGACACGATATCGCTTGCTTGCTTGTTGTCATTGGCATGCTTATACACTGAACTGTTCCATTTATCTACTGCAGATCCACCACTTGGTAGGTCATGCCCACAAGATTACCTGTGTCAAACTATTTGGTTCTGAAAAGGGAGTGATTACCGGATCGGCCGACCGGTCCCTCAAAGTCTGGGATATTTCCCGACAGACCTACAAACAAACCACCACTCTTCGACACAGTTCCACTGCAAATTGTGTCGATGTCAGTCCTGATTTGTTTACCGTCGTGACAGCCCACTTGGATGGTGGAGTACGACTGTTCCATCTGCAAACGGGAGAACGATTGTCAGACATTTCTGGGATTCATCAGGGCGCTGTCACCTCGGTCCAATTTCACCCCAAGGATGCTTCCAAAGTTTTGACCAATGGGATGGATTCTACCTTGAAGATCGTGGACATTCGGACTGGGACTCCAATACATACCTTTTCCGACGTCCAGTTTCAAACCTCGTATGGATGGGCATCGGCTTCCTTTAGCCCGGATGGATTGTACGTGGGAGCTGGTTCAGCAACAGGAATGGTACTGGTTTGGGACGCGGAATCGGGTAAACTACGGAAAAAGCTATCGAATCACCAAAGTTGTGTCTGTGGCTTTGCTTGGAGTCGAGGTGGAACCAGCGGGCAACAAGTTGCATCTGTCGACAAGAAGGGAGTATTGACCTTGTGGTCATAGTGACGACGACGATGATGATGAGGATTTGACAGCGTTTCAGTTTAAATACTTCGTACTGGATCCAAAAAGCATCCTTTCCGAAAACAAAAAGGAAACCATTTTGATTTTTAAAAGTTTTATGATATTTTGGCAGTAGAATCAATATAATAATTGTAGTAGTGTATCAATAACTCCATTTGCCTCCAACCACGAGGTAGGTAGGTAGGTAGGTTTGTAAGTACACTGTACCGGTAGGTAGGTAACAGAAATATTTTAAATATTAAAAATTAATATCTAAGCCAAATTTAGACCAATTGCCATACCCATAGCCTTGTTGACTTCCATGTCAATTTGTGCCTCAGCTTGTTCCACCGATCCAGCAGAAGCGGAAGCATAGGCACTCTTGGCAGCCTCGAATTGCGATGTGACAGCCGATGGATCAATGTCGTCCAACTTGACTGCTTCAGGGCACATAATGTCCTTTAAAAAAAAACAATGGAACGGAGAGGAATGAAAATGAGAATTTTCATTTGTTGGAATGTATGCATGTATATAAACACAACGTAAAATTCCATCCGTCAATCCATCAATAGGAATCAATATCAATTACTCACCGTTACCGAGTTTTCGTGGGTCATAGCGTATCCACCAGCGACAAAGTACTTTTCATCTTCCGATCCCTCCTCGTGGACAATTTGCAAGACTCCAGGCTTGAGTTGAGCAACGTAAGGAACGTGGTTGGGAGTAACTCCGTACTCTCCCTCAGTTCCAGGAATGCTGACGCTGAACACCGAAGCACCATTGTAGATGGATTCGTAAGGAACCGAAAAGTTGAGGGTCACCGCTTCGGCAGCTTCGGAGGAGAGTGCTCGGGCAGCAACTGACCGGGAGAGGACCTTTCGTGCAAGAGTTCGAGACAACATTACGGTAGTATTATTGTATTATTGGATGGATGGATGGATGGATCGATGGATCGAATCAAGAAAGCAAGAGATAAGAGACGCGAAGAGAAACTAGCGACCTTCCGATGCCGCTCCTCCAATCTTCCAGGTTTCCTCCGCATGCCGCGTGATCCACAGCTTGATGACGACACATTCGAGCGAGCCATTTGCGTAAAGTCTACGCGTGATAAGTACTGACGTAAGCGTTGGTAGAATTTCAGCAACAAGGGTCCCCAACGAAAATCCTCCGTCGAACGAGAAAAAAATTGGATCTCACTCTACCTCATCAACCATGATTGCTGCTCGTAGATTGGCCCAACAAGGTACGATTTTGACAACGAAAAATTGCTGCAATGTTGGGGAATGATGTCCTATTCAATGGTGCTAAATTTGGTGACAGTGGGTACTTGTTGCTATCTGGAAAGGGCCTCTCCCATCACCATTGTGTGCTAATGCCGATGGAAGCTCATTACCCATTGGTACTGGATTCGCGTCATTCCCAACGTAAAAAAAAACAATTTCGTTCTCCTGGATGACCATGACGGAAGTTGCAGCAGAAATGAATGGAAAATTAGAAAACAACAACAATCTCTCACCATCATATTCTTCTCTCTTCTCTTGCTCACCCTAATTGACAATTGATAATTGATAGGCACTCGTGCATACAGCAGCACAGCTGCAGCCTTTGGCACTGGAAAGGTCACACAAGTTATTGGAGCCGTTGTCGATGTTCAATTCGATGAAAAGCTTCCCAAGATTCTGAATGCCCTAGAGGTTGAAGTTGCAGAGGGAAATGAACGTCTAGTCTTGGAGGTTGCCCAGCATTTGGGAGAAAACACTGTCCGAACTATTGCCATGGAGTCCACCGATGGTCTTGTCCGTGGCCAAAAGTGTGCCGATACCGGTGCTCCCATTCAAGTGCCTGTCGGACCCGAGACTCTTGGACGTATCATCAATGTCATCGGAGAACCCGTCGACGAGAAGGGACCCATCTTTACTGACAAGAAGTCCGAAAAGTTCGCTCCTCTTCACAGAGCCGCCCCTACCTTTACCGAGCAAGGAAAGTCCCAAGAGATTCTTGTCACTGGTATCAAGGTTGTCGATCTTCTTGCCCCCTACGCCAAGGGAGGAAAGATTGGTCTTTTCGGTGGAGCCGGTGTCGGTAAGACTGTCGTTATCATGGAACTTATCAACAACATTGCCATGAACCACGGAGGATACTCTGTTTTCGCTGGTGTCGGTGAACGTACACGTGAGGGAAATGATTTGTACCACGAAATGATTGAGGGAGGTGTCATCAAGATTGATGAGAAGACTGGTTCCACTGCTGGATCCAAGGCCGCCCTTGTGTACGGACAAATGAACGAACCACCAGGTGCCCGCGCTCGTGTCGCCCTTACTGGTTTGGCCATTGCCGAATACTTCCGTGACGAAGAAGGACAAGATGTGCTTCTTTTCGTTGATAACATCTTCCGTTTCACCCAAGCCGGTTCGGAGGTGTCAGCCCTTCTTGGACGTATTCCATCTGCTGTCGGTTACCAACCAACTCTTGCCACTGATATGGGTGCGCTTCAAGAACGTATTACCTCCACCGGAAAGGGATCCATTACCTCTGTCCAAGCCGTTTACGTTCCTGCTGATGATCTTACCGATCCTGCCCCCGCTACCACTTTCGCTCACTTGGACGCCACCACTGTGTTGTCTCGTTCCATTGCCGAACTTGGAATCTACCCTGCCGTCGATCCACTTGACTCCACCTCACGTATGTTGGATCCCCGAGTGATTGGAGACGAGCACTACGAAGTTGCCCGTTCCACCCAAAAGCTGCTTCAAGACTACAAGTCTTTGCAAGATATCATTGCTATTTTGGGTATGGATGAACTTTCGGAAGATGATAAGCTTACTGTCTCTCGTGCCCGTAAGGTCCAAAAGTTCATGTCCCAACCTTTCCACGTCGCTGAGGTTTTCACTGGTACCGCCGGAAAGTTTGTTTCTCTAGAAGATTCCATCAAGGGATTCAAGGATATCATCAGCGGTAGCTACGATAATCTCCCAGAGGGTGCCTTTTACATGGTTGGAAACATTGACGATGTCAAGGAAAAGGCTGCCACCATGGTTGTCTAATTACTTACTACTTGTGTAACATAAATCTGACAATCCAAACCTTTCCTGTGAATGTGAATGAATGAATGATAGACATAATATCATGCATGTACTAAGCAACAAACCAAAAGTGCAACTACAGTAGTTGTGTCTGTTCTCGCAAAATATGATTTGAATCTTGCGTCTGACCGCCGGCAACATCCGACAATATGATACAACATAAAAGTAACACAACACATTGCATTGCACAATCACTCGTTATATACATTCGGTAGAAGGATTATTCGAATTGAAGTCAAGGGCAAATCCAAGCACATCACATGTTGTCCAGCAGTAACTCACATTCCACGCAGTCGCCTCTTCGTCCGCATTGGGAGCTGTATCCAAGATCCTATGTGGCACAAAAGACTTCCTTTCCGCTCATTGATCACATGGATGGTGACCTGGACAAAGACGTCTGGTCCAATGTTCCTTGGTCGGATGATTTTGATGACATTCGTGGCCCAAAAGATGCCCCAAGTGACGAGCGACCAGATGCCAATTGTCGGACTCGATTCAAGGCTCTCTGGGACGATGACTACCTTTACTTTGGTGCGATGATCGAATCCGACTTTACCACAGAAGCTCACTTTACAGAACGAAATTCCCCAATCTATCATTTGGATTCTGATTTCGAAGTATTTGTGGATCCATTTGGGGAATGTTGGAACTACAAGGAGTTTGAAATGAATGCAATCAACACCGTGTGGAATCTCATGTTGGACAAACCATATGCCGATCATGGACATGAACATTCCGGTAGAATTGCCAAGCCTGGTGACGATGACTACTACGAAGTGAACAACCAAAAGAGTGCGACTAAAATTATTAGGGGAAAGCTGAATGATGCTAATGGTGGGGCGACGTGGTCGGTCGAGATCGCAATGTCTCACAAAGACTTGCTCTTTCATACACTGAATCCTTCCAAAGTCCCAGTGCCCGGATCCATGTGGAGGGTAAACTTCAGCCGGGTGGAACATAAAGGAAAGATCAATTGGACTTGGCAGCCTCAAATTGCATGGGATGCAAAGCAGCTACGGAACACTGGATACGTGGATATGCACCGTCCGGATGCATGGGGATATCTTGTCTTTGGCGACGAAACTGAGGAGACAATAAAGTTTGAGATGCAAAAAGATCCTACATGGCCTTTGAGACTTGCAGCCATGAATGTGTACTATGCACAACGGGCCCATCAGGAAGCCAAAGAGAAATATGCATCCAAAATGTCGGAGCTTTTGCAGAATTTGAATATTGCCATTGTCGATCCGTTCGATGTCGATATTAAATGTGACGTGGATGGATATACAGCAGTCGTGACTGGCAATGGATATGTCGTTTCAGTGAATCAGGATCGACTCATCAAGGTTGAGGATGCAATTTCAGCAAGCGAAAAACTCTGATGAAGAGACTGCCGGTCAAAACTACCAGTGTATTTGGACAACCATACAGGGCTACTCAGAATCCCAAGGGACAGGGCAAAGTCGAGGTTTTGGTGATAGGTTACATAGTTATTGGCTGAACCAAGAGTCCAGGATGCAATCTGAAACGAAGAAGATTGGCCATATGTTGGCAGAACTGATTGATTCGATAGTACCGGTACTCATTACATTTTAGGTCTGCCCCATGGAAGAATTCGAGAAAAGATTGACTGTCCCTTGAAGACATGTGAAAAGGCACCTCCGACGTGAAGAGGGATAAGGAATTTTCCATAGGTACCAAGTGTCTTGTGAATTTTGAAGCTCTAAGAACAATACAAAATAGAATAAACATGAGCTCCTGGGATATACAACAAGCATAATGATAATTTTTCGGCCTTACCTGCCCAGCAATTTTCCCTGTGCTCTTCTTGTTCTCTGGGGTCTTGGTGATACCAGGAAAAGAAGTCCAGAAGAATGGAAGTCCCTTGCCACCGTAATAACCCATAGCAATACCAGAAGCTGGCATGATTGTCATGAAGGCATACAAACCAACATGAGTGGCGTTAGCAGCAAAATGCTCAAGCTTACTTCCATCCAATGGAAAAACCTTGTAAGCAGATCTGTTGAAGAGACGGTAGCCAACTCGGGGAACCACGATCATTCCCGTAAGAAGTCCCAAGCTCTTGTGACGATGCATCAATTTCCCCTTGTCCTCCTTTGGTGCTTGTTGTGCCTGAAGGACAGTAGCAACACATCCAACAGCTGGAATTGCAGTAAGCCAGTGCAAGTTGGCAGCGGCAATGCTATAGGCTGTCTTTGGTACACTCATCTTGCTTCTATGATAATTCTAGTCGACACGCTTCAACACAGAATGATGATGATAAGCGAACGCTTCCTTTTTGCTTGAGCACCTGCACGCTACAACTTGAAACTGTACCTGTACAAGATATTCTACGCCAGTTGGTAGGAACCCAAAAGATCCAACTACAAAAAAGGTTACTTCTGTACTTTTTGACTAGTCGTACTAGTCCATCCACAGAAAATTTCGCAGAATAGCCAAAAAAAAAACAATTTTAGCATCATACCTACCAGGTAGTCGTTCCATTATCACTATGGACTTCAACCCTCTCTTTCGAAATCGAATCGGCCACAAGAAATATTGTGCGCAATGTCACAAAGCTGAGGCATACCAGGAGTTTGTGACCTGCAATTGCGCCGTCTTTCATTATTGTTCAACCACCTGCAAGGATTTCTATGGCATAGAACACAGGCGAGACTGCCGGTTGCTGGCTCGATTCCGAGGCAAGGGCCGCAATGTACAATTTGCCAACCTCATGATGAAGAATGAATATCTTTGCAATAAAACGAAGAGTAGAAGCAAAACGACCGAAATGCGAAGTCATACCTACGAGCAAGTCTTGGATTTATACCTCTACAGATTTGAAGAAATCAAGGCCATGGGCACGACGACCGATGTCGGTGTTCAGGCTCAGCAAGATTTTGTTTTGATAAAAATGAGGATTCCATTGTTGCTGGCAGCGTTGGGATACGACGATTTGGCCATTACCGAGGTTGCAGTCATGATGGACTTTCAAGGAGAAACTCCGGGCAGAATTCCAAGAACAAAATTTGATGATGTGATTCAAGACATCTATGAAGAACGAGGCGAAGTGTACGAAGCCTGGCCCACCTGCTTTATACTACCAATAGTTCTGGTCAAACTGAGACACGTCTTGGCATGGAGGGCATACACCACGTTCATTTCTAGAACAAACAGATTTCCTGAAGATGTTCGATTATGCATTGGCGAATTTCTGATTGGTCATGACATTCGTTCATCGACTGCCAGTTTGTACGTGGAACAGAAGCAACAGTTGCGACAAGCCATTTCCTTAATCAAGCAGCAAGATGATAATTTTGCGTCGATACTACAAGATCACCAATATAATGAAGATGATGAAGAACATGATCATGCTGAGGATCTATTGAGTTATATTTATGAGAATGATGATTATGGCTTTAATGACTATGGTCTCTTTCAGTTCTTTCGTGGTTGCTTTCGAGATACGGAGGCAATGAAAGCGCTCGCCGCAGAATTCATCAATGAAGAAGAATTGGAAGCCGGTGAGGAAATGACATGGGAACGGCGTCCATCTGTCCTTAGAACGAAGAAAGAAGAGTCAAAAGACTTCATCCAGAACGAGGACTTGGAAGATGGTGTTGAAATCTCATGGGAACGGCGTCCATCTGTCCGTAGAGTGAAGAAAGAACAGCGGAAAGACTTCGTGCAGAAAGAGGAATTGGAAAATGGTGTTGAAATCTCTTGGAAACGAATTCAATCTATTTGCTTGAAAACTTTATCGACTGATTTCGAAAGTGAAGACGAACTAGAAGATGATTGGGAACCCCTGCAGGCAAACTGGTTGTCGGTCAAGAATCTGTAGAAGATGATGCGAAGGCCTCAAGGTGCTGGATGTATTAGACACTTTATACACTGGATAGGTGATACAATCATTTTTTTCCGATTTCAATGCTTCTATTTTTGATGCTTTGACTTCATGATACTTGGATGCATACATCCATCAAAAGAATCATCACTTTTTTAGTGAGCGAAACGAAGACTGCTTTGGTGTCTGATTTTGTAGCATCTTGCTTGTGAATTTTGACCGATGCGCTTCAACACAGACCAATGATGATGCTCATTGCACTGATAACGTGTCTTCATCGCGTGGAGAAATGGTGCCTCGCTAGTACTCCAACGTTTAGGATCAAATTAAAAGCCGCTATTTCTGTACTTTGGAAAGTAGTCGCACTAGTCAATATTTCTCAGATTTTGAAGAATGAAAGAATGAATAGAACCTACAGTACCGGTATAGGTTCTGTACGTTACTCTCGTCTCACCATCACCATGGAATTCATCCCTCTCTTTCGAAAGCGCATCCGTCATAAGAAATACTGTGCACAGTGCCACCACGTTGAAGAGAGCAAGGAGTTTCTGACCTGCAATTGCGCCGTGTTTCATTACTGTTCAACCACATGCCAAGATTTGTACGCTGAAGAACAGTCGAGACTGCCGGTTGCTCGCTCGAATTAGAGGCAAGGGTCGCAATGTTCCACTCACCAACCTGATGATGAAAAACGAGTACTTTTGTAATAAAACGAAGAGTCGAAGCAAAACGACCGAAATGCGAAGTCATACCTACGAGCAAGTCCTGGATGAGTATCTTCATAGATTTGAAGAAATCCAGGCCATGGGGACGACGGCTGACATTGGTGTCCAAGCTACACAAGATTTCGTCTTGATTAGAATGAGGATTCCGTTGCTGCTGGCAGCATTGGGATACGACGATTTGGCCATTACCGAGGTTGCAGTCATGATGGACTTTTACGGAGGAACTCCGAGAATTCCAAGAACAAAATTTGATGATGTGATCCAAGACCTCTTTGAGGAACGAGGTGAAGGGTACGAAGCCTGGCCCACCTGTTTCATACTACCAGTAGTTTTGGTCAAACTGAGGCTTGTACTAGGATGGAGGTCATATATCACGTTTGTTTCTAGAACAAACAGATTTCCTGAGGATGTTCGATTGTGCATTGGTGAGTTTCTGATTGGTCATGTCATCCGTGCATCAACTGCCACACTATACTTGGAACAGAAGCAACAGCTGCGACGAGCCATTTCTTTGATCAAGCAACAGGACGACGATTTTGCTTCGATACTACGAGAGCATCAATATAATGAAGATGACGAAGAAAACGATCATGCTGAGGATCTATTGAGTTATATTTATGAGAATGATGATTATGGCTTTAATGACTATGGTCTCTTTCAGTTCTTTCGTGGTTGCTTTCGAGATACGGAGGCAATGAAAGCGCTCGCAGCAAAGTTCATAAGTGAAGAAGAATTGGAAGACGGTGAGGAAATGACATGGGAACGGCGTCCATCTGTCCTTAGAACGAAGAAAGAAGAGTCGAAAGACTTCATCCAAAAAAAGAAGTTGGAAGATGGTATTGAAATCTCATGGGAACGAAATAACCAAACTTGCTTGAAGAGCATATCAACTGGTTTCGCAAGTGAAGACGAGCTAGAAGACGACTGGGAACCCATGCAGGCAAACTGGTTGTCGGTGAAGGAGCGGTAGGAGACGATGCGAGGCCTCAGAGTGAACGATATAATGGATAGGTGATACAGTGCATTTGTTCCTTGTCGAATGCTTCAATTTTGATGCTTGGACGTTTTGTTATAGGTTGCAGTATGACAGCCTAGTTTTTAATAGATCCTCATGACTCTAGCTAGACTTTTTAGTTTTACTGTCTACTCATCCGCCCCCCAAGTACTCTCTGTAGAGGGAACCAACTTCTCGTCAATTACATGAATTGGGGTATCATAGACGCTATGGCCCAGGGCAATTTTATGCTCGGTGAAAGCTGGTTTCACAGTATTTTCACAATTATCCAATTCAGCCAAAAACATGTCTTTTGTGAAAGAATCATCAAGGGCTCCAGCTTTCTCAGCGAGCGACGCGAAGACTGCTTTGATTTCTGACTTTCTAGCATCCCCAATCGCTGCATTCATGAATGACTCTTGATTTTCAAAGCAAGTGTCAGCATACTTCAATAGTGCGCCCCTCCCCATGTATGATTCAACAAGTGATGCCCCACATTGAGCGGTAAAAGCTTATGCATGAAAGGCGAGGCTTGTAATGTAAATGTAAAACTCATACTTGTCACCGTGTGCTTCCTTGATCACAGCCAGCTTTTCCCAGTACTTTTTGGAATAGGGACACTGGAGATCCCAAAAAATCTTCCATGATTTCTTCATTGTGTGATCGATGTGATTAGTTCTAGCTGTGATCGAGAGTTTGTGAGCAATACACTGTGATCTAAACATGTATCTAAACGTTTACGCTATCAACACTCTTCATAGCAAGCAACTCCTTGTTTGCTTCCAAGATTGGATTGACTTCTTCCTCAAGGAATTCGTCGACTTGCTCAGGGGCACGACCAACGAATAGTTTAGGATCGATCAGCGTATCCAATTTGGAGTGAACTGCAGCGAACAAAGGATCCTTTGCTATGCGTTCCAACAAGTCATTTGGCTTTCCCTCTCCCTTAACAACGGCACCAGCTTCCATGGAGTAGACACGGATAGCCTCGTGAAGTTCTTGGCGATCTCCACCAGCCTTCACACATTCCATAAGGATCACTTCTGTCGACATGAATGGAAGCTCGGCCATGACGTGAGCTTTGACAACATTTGGCCAGACTACCATTCCGTCACTAATGTTAGCCAAAAGGGTCAAGATGACATCAACGGCAAGGAAACCCTCTGGTAGGATGATTCGTCGAATAGCGGAATCATCAAGCGTTCTCTCGAACCATTGGTTGGCATGAGTGTTTGCAGCAGCATTGGGAAGGCTCATCACGTATCGAGCCAACGAACACACGCGCTCACTTCGCATAGGGTTACGCTTGTAAGCCATAGCACTGGATCCAATCTGTTTCTTGGCAAATGGTTCCTCGACTTCCTTCAAGTTAGCGAGAAGACGGATGTCACCGCACATCTTATAGGCAGATTGGGCAATTCCACTCAATACACTAAGGATGTTGAAATCAATTTTCCTAGTGTAGGTTTGTCCAGAAACGGGAATGGCCTTCTTGAAGCCCATAAGTTCGCAAACTCGCTTGTTCAATGCCTTAACCTTCTCGTGGTCGCCGTCGAAAAGCTCCAAGAACGAAGCTTGAGTTCCAGTGGTTCCTTTCACACCACGCATTGGAAGATCGTCGATCTCTCTCTCAACACGCTCCAAATCCAAGAGCATATCTTGCATCCACAAACATGCGCGCTTTCCAACAGTTGTTAGTTGAGCGGGTTGGTAGTGGGTGTAACCTAAAGTTGGGAGATCACGGTACTTGTTGGCAAATCCCTTTAGGATGTCCAAGACTTGGATCAATTTTCTCTTGGTAAGCTTCAGCGCATCGCGGATTTGAACCAAATCAGTGTTGTCACCAACATAACAAGATGTGGCTCCAAGGTGGATAACAGGCATGGCCTTTGGTGCCGCATCACCGAATGCATGAACGTGACCCATCACATCGTGGCGGAACTCAGCCTCCTTTTCGGCAGCAAGGTCGAAATCGACATCAAACAGATTTTTCCTCATTTGCTCCAATTGCTCATCGGTGATATCAAGTCCAAGTTCTTGTTCAGCAGTTGCCAAGGCAGTCCAAAGCTTTCTCCAGGTTGTGAATTTCATGGCGGGAGACCAAACGAAGGACATCTCCTTGGTTGCATATCTCTGAACGAGAGGGTGCTCGTACACTTGGTTGTTGGGCAAAGCATCCTCAGGGAATGTAGCGGCAGCTTCGAGGAATTTATCGGCGTTGGACATGATGATTTGACTTGTCGGATGTATTTGTCAAAAGAACGGAAGCAACCATGTTCGGATCTTGAGAAAAACGTGATGGATGGCGGAAGCACTTCCTGACAACGGCAAGACCTTTTAATCAGACGAGTCAGTCAGATTTTTTTGAATTTGGCTTGGAAGAAACGAAACGAACTCCGCACTCGTGACAATATGGAAGAAAAACTGCACATAGTGGTTCATCATGGGAGATTGCCGGATTCGCATCGTGATTGCCAAAGACTTGATACCAAATATTGAAAATGATTTTACGATGAATCAAATGTACACTTCCGATACGACTGTTCGAGAAGTTATGGAGAGTACCAAGCAACTGTTCAGTTTGTATCAATCCAAACAGTCTTTCCAACTATGGGATGTCACTTTATCTCCGCCAAACGATATTACATGCTGGCCGTTGGAAGATTTCCCTGAACTTCAAGGTCCTAAAAGTAAGACACTACATAGTGCTGGTTGGTTTCCGTCAGGGAGTTTGCTGGTACTGCCACCAAATGTCAAGCCTTCGGAATACAAAGTTGCTGTGTACGATGATTCTCAATACAACAAACAGGAGGCACTTGCTCCCATGGAAACGGACTCGAAGCCTACCATAGAATTCAAGGATGAAACGCTTACAAACAGCCAGCCACTTCCGTCCCAGGTTATGGAATCGGTGGTAAAACGATTTGCCAATGATCCTAACGAGCAGGATGTCTCCGATGCTCAGACCCTTAGACGGCAGAACCAAGAAGCGCGCAAAGCACTAGAAGAAGAGAGGGCTACAAAACTGGATCAACGGATAAAGAAGCTAGAAGAGACTTCGAATGAGAAAAACAAGAAAGTATCCGACCAAGTGAGGCTGATGTTGATCAAGTCTAGAGCTACAGGAGTGAAATCTTTGAAGCAACGGGATCGGATGTATTTTGAATGCGTGGCCGATAAGAATGGCGAATTGACAAAGGAATATCGCTTCTTTTCGCCTCAAGATACATTTGCAAAGATTGCTTCTTCATTTTCTGCTCCTACTCAAGCGGGATTTCAGAACAATGAAGTCATTATCAAGCGCGGGGACGCCTATCTCCGTTTTCCAGTGTCCATGAGAGTATATGAAGCAATCGCAGATGGGCATCTCTCAGATAAGTTCAATGTCATCGTGATTCGGTGGTATTCCGATAACGAGGATCCCTCCCCTAGCATCGTGTCCAAAGATGATGAGACGGAGCAAATGCAAATGTCACAAGCGAATGGAGGTGATACAAACGAGGCTCGCGTAGGAGAAGCACCAATGGAACAAGATTCCGTCAATCCAATTTCACAGAGCGGTGTTATAGAAGATATAGCACTTGGAAAGCTACTGCAAGATCTAGATATAACTCTGAGCAAGGGGAAGAAGCCAAAGAAGAATTCAGCTGCAGCAATGAAGGTCCGCTGCATGCAGATCAAAAGCAAGGCGAAAGGTGATGCCAAGCGTGTTCCAAAAATGGAGGACCGCTTCTTTCTTGAAGTTGTTACAGTTTCTAAGGCTGGCGAAGCAAAGTCATCCTATTGTTTCCTCGCGAGAAAGGACAAGATTGAAAGATTGCTTCAGGTAGTTGCTACTCTCCCCACTTCAAACCTAACAGAGTTGGAATTTCTCGTAGCAACAGAGAAAGCGAGCGAGTTCACCGCCATTAATGACACTTCAATAGAATTGAATGGAGCGGAACAAAGGCAGCTGCTAAAGGGATTCGATAGGATAATACTTCGACAAAAATAAATGCTATAACCTGGAGGAGGTCATTTGATTCCATTCCCCTTAATCCACAATCAATTCGTCGATACTCCAGTCTTCGTGACTTCCATCGGGTAGGTATCGTCGAACAATAATAGGGATTTTTCTTTCTCGCAATTCTTTCTCAGCAATTCTCAAAGGATCAGTTTCACCATCAAGGTCCACCATGACTGGTGCATTCATACTGATTTGAAGAGCTCTTGTTCCCAGTACGCGTGCTCGTTCGTATTTTGTTAGGTAGCGCGTCGTGACGCGTTCTGATGGAGCCGTGCCTGTCGAGACCACCATATCCCCACCTTCTACTATCATATCCTCTCGCTCTCCTGTGACGTCCAGTCCATCATCCGCTCCACCATCTCCATCATCTTCGAGTCGGTCGTCCATAGGGGCATCGTTGTCCTCGCTTTCGTTGAAAGTACCACCGTCAAAAGCACTTCCGTTTCCTATTTGTTCCTCGTCGTCACTCATTGTTATAAAGGTTTCAAATAGGTATTACACGATGATGCCGATGTCTTTTATTACTGTCAATCAACCCAATCATTTTTCGAATGGTGTTTCAAGTTATGACGGGCGTTGGCCAGGCGGGAGTAGTCGAATGTGTCGATTTCTTGTTCTCCCCGTGTCTAGCTAGTCTGTGAGTCGAGTAGTAAGTAGAGTGATGCGATGCGATAGATCAAACTGCAAAGCATCGCACCTTCATGTTACTTGACAACGCAGTATCAAAGGATAATTATTTGCGGAATGTGAAATCCTGGTACAGTGTGATGAGCATAATGAGATCGCCACATATTAACGCATCATCTTTGTTGTGACTTCAAAATCTAGGACTAGGTCCTATTATTGTAGATCAAACAAAAACTAAACCTAAGAATTACAACTATATACCACTGTATCATACTCTTGTGGCTTTGGCATAGAACAAGTCCCCACTTGAAGGGCGGACCCACAACTTGTCCATCCGAACCCAGGAAATGGGCAATAACATAACATCTGCTGTCCCATAATCGTAAAGAGTACAATGAACCAGCTGCACCAAGCATGCATATTCACCAGGACTGAGTCTGCCGCCTAGACACGCATGAATTAGTAATGGAGGCTTGCGGCCGTCTTCTTCCGACGAAAGATCAGCCCCTGCTTGCTCCGTAGCTGCATTGTAGTTGCCGGAAGATTCCAAGATATCCCTCACCATTATTCTATAACGTGGTTCAAAAAGGTGCAATCCGTATGCTTCCCCCAGTCGTAGCTGACACGGCATTATAAAAATAGGGTATTGCCCTTGAATATATCTGAAGATGTATGAGGAAGACGTCAGCATACGATTCGATGATGAGTTGAAAGCGTCCGCGAAGAACCAAACATTGACTCACGTTGTCATTATCCTTCGGTAAAGATCCTTATAGCACTTCTCCTTTGTTTCTTGCAGTACTGTGTCCAGCTTGTCGGCCTCCAAACTAAGCTCAGTTCCTTTGGGGAGAAGCTGGCGAAGGCCAGATTGCCAATGATATCGTTGACTATCATCACGATTCAATTGTCGCAGTAGGCTTTCCTTCCAGAAAAAATCGGTGGACGACATATCCTGGAAGGTCTTGTTTACTAGAGGTACGATATGCGTGAGAGAACTCAAGGCATTCTTGTTCCCACGTTCTGTAGATTGTTCTAAAGGAGCGTCTGCGATGAACAGGAGAATGTGATTTGCTATGTCTTCATGCAATTCGGAAAAGAAATGGAACACCTTCTCTCTTCTCTCCTGTGGCGTATTTGATGCATCTTGTGTATCTGCTGAAAGCTCGTTGAATTCTTTCCCCGCTTCAGTCATTGCTCTCAGGTTGGTTTGGAAGTGGCAGTGGTCTGTTTTTGGGTTCTTTCGATGAGGTGAGAATGAATCGTCAATCGAATCGAACATTGAAAAAGATACGACACACAGAAAATCCGACTCCAAACCGAACGCTCAGACTGACATCAGTACTGTAGAATACGTACGGGTTACTGACTCAGTCCGAACTCAGACAACCATCATGATGACCGCGAAGACGACGCGCATAATATTTAGAAAAGCAACAACATGAAGTCTGTCTCTACCCTTTTCACCGCCTCTCTTCTTGCCACTTCGGCAGCAGCATTCTCTGGATCCTCTTCTTTCTCAGGATCTCAGCTTGCTCAAGCCCCAGCCAGCAGTGCTGTCTTGACAATGGAATACATTCCATCGTGAGTTCTTTGGTTGCAGTCTATGTTGCATGACAACAATCACTTTCTCTTCCGAAAATTGGAAACTAATATGACCATTTCAATTTCACCGATATTTTTGTTTTGCAGTGGAATGTCCAAGGAACAGTGGAAGAAGCTCAAGGAGAAGGAAGCCAAGTCCAAGGGAAAGAATCTCGGAAAGGTTGGAATTACCAGTTTCAAGTCTCGAAGTTTTGCCGAATGGCAAAAGGCTGGAGGAAAGAATCTTTTCCCAGTCGACCCAAAGAAGGTCAAGGATGCATCTGAAATCCCTTACATGTAAGTCTATCGACAGTTTGGAAGATGACGCGATTTCTGTGAGGTACCCACCAAACAATTATCTCACTTTCTAACTTGTTTGTTTGCTGCAACCAAAAGGCAAAGACAAGGAGGAAAGCCTGATGATTCTGATCTCAAGGGAAAGAAGGGTGGATTCAGCTTGTTTGGAGGAGGCAAGAAGAAGGCAGCTGAGCCTGAACCGGAACAAGAGAAGAAGACGAACTGGTGGACCCTTTAAAAAAAATTTTACGCTGTCTAATTATAAAACAGAAACTTGAATTGTATAGTACTCTGCCTGCTTATGGACGCACTTGTACGACATTCATGTCAACGGCAACCAGATTTCTTGAGTATTTGCCTTGCTTACCACAAATACGTAGTCCAACCAAGGTCCAACCGATTAGGTACGATTGTTCTGTTTTCGACAAAAAGGCGAGCTTACTTAGTGTTTCAAGAGCTTGGTTAGTGTTTTGTAGTGTCATTTTAAGAGGTCTCGTACTGTGCACTACCTGGTACTTAAGACCCCTACTGACGAGAACATCCAGAGGTCGAAAGTTGCGCTCTTCCGACGACGATTTTCCCACCGCTTTATGCCAGCCACAATCACGCCGTTGTTTCATTTTTAACGAATCTTCGCCATACAGCTAGTTGCCCTACATTGCCATTGCACTTGTATCGACAACTCCCCAATTGAAAATGATCTCTTCCACCAAGAAATTCGTCGTTGTTGCCCTACTCGCTAGTGTATCGGTTGTTTCCGCCTTCACAACACCAATGAAATTAAGACCAAGTTACGCGCCAATGCGTACCATTGGGGCCAGTACTGCTGCTAATGGAGATAATGCCGCTTCTGATAGATTCCTAGAACAATTGGAGAAGAAAGAGGCTAAAATCGACCAACAACGAATGGCAGCCATGCAAACACTGTCTAAATTGGAGTTGTCGCTTGATGCCATCAAGTCCAAGAAGAAGGAATACCTAAACGGCCAAGAAATCGCCGAGTTCTCACCCCCAGATTCCTTCTCTGAAACCACTGCGAGATCAGCTGTCAAGGCCTTCATGTGGCGCGTTATTGCCGGAAGTGTGACATTCATTACTTCTCTTCGTTTCTCTGGTTCCATTGCCACTGCACTTTCAATTGTCGGATCTGACTTTTTTAGCAAGTCCTTTACCATGTTCATTGGAGAACGTCTAATGAACAAGAGTCAAGCAGGAAGAAAAGCAGGAGGTGATTCTGCAGGCCGATCTTTGGCCAAGGCCTTGATCTGGAGATTGTTTGCAATTTGCAACACTTTGACCATGGCCATTTTCATCGCCAAAGACCTTTCGATCGCGTCAAAGATTGCCGGATCTGACGCTATCTTCAAGACTGGTCTTATGTTTTTCTATGAACGTGTCTGGGCCAAGGTTGAATGGGGTAAGGAGTACGATGTGGAGTTCACCATTTAATTTCTCTTTCAAGCCACGACCATATATACCACATAATTCACTTTGTCAGATATAGCATAAGTTGTTTCATTTTTTCGCAGAGAATACTATTGTCATTTACACAACTCTACCATTCACAAAGAAATGACTTGTACAGCTCGTAGTCTTTCTGCCAATGCCCAATGGAGAAGACCTGCTACTTTGGTAGTTGCAAGAAATGACGAGAATTATTTTTCCCTTCATTTTTCCCCTTTCATTTCATTTTTTCGTCGACGGGTTCGACCCCTCCGATTCCTTCGACCTGCAACAAACAAAAGTCACAACAAGGAATTTGTGAATCAGCAGCCTTCGCGACGCCATTAGCTGCCATTGTTGCTACAATACAATACTTTGAAAACATGTCCGACCATTCAACAGAACCATTGATCCTTCAGGAGATGGCTTGTTCCTATCGCGAATTGTGCAAACTGATATCCAGCATTCCGGAGATGCGGAATCAACCAGAAGAAATCGTGTTAAAGGTGACAGATTTCTTCCGAGTCGAGCCAGTAGTGCCAGATGATGTAATAGCTGTGAATGCGAGTTCACATGATAAACGACATCCGTTAGAAGAATGTTTGACACCGAACACCAACACATGGTGGATCAGTGGATTTGGTTCCATGCTTTGGGGTAAAGGGGAGGAATTTGTCGAGTTTGAACTGGCGAAAACAGTTTGCAGACTATCAACATTCAAAATTGAAATCCCTCCTCTGCCAGCAGGACCATTAAGTGCCAAAACTCTGCGATTAGACCGCAAGAAATCCGATGGATCATGGGAACAGTGCTCCCCAGTATGGACAGTTCAGAATCGGACTGGATTGCAGTCGTTTGAACTAGATGTGCCTGTGGATACAAGGTATTGTCGGGTGGTTTGCTTATCAAATCAAATCAGCCAATTCTTTGAGGGTCAGGTGCAGGAAGATGTGATCACTTTTGAATACATGTGTGTAGGGTACTTTTGTGTTCGGTTCGAATAGTGCCAACAAGGAGTCTGTAGTGAAATCAGATGCTTCGATTCATGGTAGGACTACAATGGCCTATAGAAAAACTTTATCACGTTTTAGGGCATATCATTTGCAATAAAATAGGTTTCATGACTGAAACGAGGATTGTTCTTACAACACCATCCATACTGAACGTGCCTTCATCTTTTTTTCGTGGAAGGTTGGGACTTCTTCAGGCCATGTACTTGTCCGTCGTCATCTGCCAACACGTCACCTCTGGAAAATGTTCGGGGTAGTTCCAAAACGGGGCTATGTGGCTCCCCTTTTAGACGGAACATCCTTGAAGTCAAATCTTCGCTTGACTCGCTTGCGTCTGACGAACGGTCTTTTGACTGATATTGATATAGTATCCAACCACTACAACAACAAATCCCACCATGAAGACCTCTCTCGTTACCCTTATCACCCTTTTCGCCTCTGCTGCCGCTTTCACGCCTTCCAAGAGTGCCAGTTCCAAGGTTCTTGATGCCACCAAAGCAGAAATCTTGAGTGAGCCTGACACCACTGAATTCGGATCTATCTGGGATCCTTTGGGTCTTTCCGAGTTGGGTTCTGATGAAACCCTTGCCTGGTTCCGTCACTCCGAAGCCAAGCACGGACGTGTTGCCATGGCTGCCTTCGTTGGATGGTGGGCTGTTGGTGCCGGTCTTCGATTCCCAGGAGAGCTCGCACACGGACTCACATTCGAATCCATCCCTTCCAAGGGACTTGAGGCCTGGGATGCTGTTCCAGGATGGGGCAAGGCACAATTGCTTTTGTTTGCTGGATTGATCGAATTCCACGACGAACTTTTCTTCAGCCGCCGCGGAACTCACTACATGCGTGGGGGAACACCAGGAAAGGTATGTTTTTGTCTGGATTACTACTGTTCACTTAAGGTATCTTTGCATTTCCTTACTGATTTTGTCTTTTTGTAGAACATGGTTCCAGGACTTTTCGATCCCTTCTCCTTGTCCAAGAACAAGAGTGAAGCAACTTTGGCCAAGGGACGTGCCAGTGAATTGAAGAATGGACGCTTGGCTATGATTGGATTCATGGGGCTATACGCTGCCGCCACAATTGAGGGATCCGTTCCTCTTCAGCCACCATGCTAAACACCCGATTTAGAAAGATATCTCACGGTTGAGAAATCCCGTTCAAACACAATCCGCTAGGCGATGAGGAGCTAGACGACATTGTAATTTTTAACTTTAGCTCCGCTCAATGATTCTCAATTTGAATGCCCAAGATCAGCTGATTTCCCAATGCCCAGTCATTAGTACTAGTAATAATTGATTCGAACTATATTCCTTCCGACAGAAAATCGAAATGAAGCAAGACTCTGGCTTGAATGCACGCGAGCTTCCACTCGGGGGTTCCTTCTGTTTCGTCCAGTTTCATCATTTCTCGACCATGAATCTCGGTTACAATATCCCATAAACTTTTCACCGCATCTTCGTCGTCATCCATACTAGGAAGCAGACCATCTAGAAATTCCATAGAGTTCAAAGCCGTTAATGGGTCATCAGACTCCACGACAACACTTGCGATCTTCTCTCGAAGCTCAAGGTTAATTTCAGCCATTCCGTCATCGTCGTCGTCTTCTGGCTTTAGGCGCTTGAGGGAATTCTGGAGAACTTTCAAAACAAGTTCGGTAGAAATATCATTGTCTACTTCTAGGTCTAATAATCGTTGGAGGAATCGCCATCTATCGAAACGATCGGAGAGTTCCACCGATTCAATTGAAGCCATGAGAGGCAAGGAAACTATCGAGTTTCCTTTGATTCCACGTGACAAACCTGTCGATATCGGAATGAAGCTGAAGCATGACTGTAGTAAAATAGCAAGAAGTGACGCTCGAACGAAATTCCACATTGTGATGAGAGGTGAATGAATGATTGGTGAGAAAGTGAGAAAATTGAGTTGTTTTTCTATTTGGTTCGTTGATGATGTAAGTCGGACTTGTCACAATCTACGATCCTCTCTTTCTCCGTTTACCTGTTCCGAAAGAGTATGTAGAAATGTAATCGGCCTCGATGAACTTTTCCGTAGATCCAACAGCATATTTCACAGTGTAGCATGCATCTCCTGACGAATCTTCGTACGGCCCTTCAATGATGCTGCCAATTCCACCTTGACAGTTTTTGCCTGAAAAATTGAAACATGAATGTCAAAACAGATTTCGTTGGTGTGATTTCTTGAAGCAGAGTGACACGTACCTGGCCACGAGTGAGCCTTTACATACACCATATCGCTGATATTATAAACTTCTGCCCGATCGCCAATCATCTCGGATGGAATGCTGTCATCAGCAGGTGTCTCTGGGCATATTGACTCGTCTTCTTCTTGAGCCATTCTCGTATCCCTCCGCCTAGAGCTCGAGACTTTGTTGCGGCGTTGCTTCTCCACTGGATGCTGACTTTGCCGCTGTCTCTCTTTTCGTTTCTTCTTCGCACCATGGTCCTTTGGCTGTCCAATCTTCGTCTTTGTTGAATCTAGATTTTCACTGCCGCCCTTTCGCGTATCCGAGTTAGATGGCGAAGGGCAACCCCAACAAGACCAGTCGGTACCTTCGGCTTCTTCCTCGCCGAATCCGACACATTTCGCTGAAACGTCGTACCATGTATCACAATAGTCGCACTGTATCCAAAATATCTGTCCTTCAGTCTGGTCGTGAGTTGCCCCACAAACACATCCACTCCAAGCATTGTCATCTTTCTCCCAGTCGCTTTCACCTCCACCAGATACGGAGGAATTACACGCGTTATCATCGGTGAGGCGTTCCGAAGCAATGCCGCCATCTTTCGCAGTTCTGATACATGGCGAAGAGCATTGAATCTCTTCTCCATTTCCCAATTGCAAAGTGCGAATATCATCGTCACTGTCTGCATTTATCCCCTTTTCAAGAGTTGCAGTGAGTCCTGCGTGTTGATCTTCGTCTGCAGCTATGTTTGCACCAAATGTCTGCTGTGGCTCTTCTATTCGCGGTGTTGGTGGAGGTTTTTCTCCTGCTTCAGCGGAGCTTGGTGTGCTGACATTCCCAACTTCTTCCACAGCTCTAACAGGATCCCTAGTCACAGACTCACTCAACGAGTCTTGCAATTGTTCTTTTCCAGTCGTTGGAAGCATCGTTCGATCCGCTCCAGCTGCCAATCGTTCTTCATCAACACCGGGGTTCCGATTCTCCTTTTGGGCCCCTTGCAATTCGTAGTCCAAGCCTGGGGAGTTCACAGCTCCATTGCCGATTTCAGTCCAACCGATAAGTCTGTCATCTCGTGCAGCTGAGTCCATCACATGGAGAATACGTCGTTCCACCTCGAGAAACTTTTTCTTGACGTGATTGGCATGTTTGTATCTAGAAATGACAAGGAGAAGATTTTGTCCACTTATTTCTAGTTCCACTTCCAGTTGGCTTTGTGTCATGCCTCCAATAAGTTTTCCATTCACAGAAAGGAGCATGTCGTTCACTCGAAGCCCAGCAGATGTAGTGGCATCATTGTCCGTGCAGCCAGCATAGGTCTGTATGCATTAGAGGGTGAGCCAATTACAGGAAATCGGAGTTTGAAACTTTCGTTTGCAAAAAAGGAATACACACTCACTTACCGCAGCCGAGGCTGGTGACAACGGATCAACAGAGTCTATCAAGCAGGCATGCCCAAACTCGTCCCATATCACTTTCATTCCCCAAGGCCTTCTTCCCAACGGTTCCCGGCGGAGCAATAGCATGGAGTAGCCTTCTTCGGGTGTACGATGAGTGTTTCGATACGATGAGGAAGCTGCAAAGGGATTCAAAGTGAATCGCTGGCTTGGAATCATAAAGCTTTGATCCGGAATACCTTCCTGTGGTCCATAGAGGACGATGTCACCATCCACATGTCCTGGAGGACCCCATGGGTCATCCTCGCACGGTACCCAACAAAGCTTGAGAGATTGCTTTGCTGATCCTTCCGAGCTCACGCTGTTCTTTGGTGGATCTTCCAGACGTGGGCGACTCCTCTCACTCTCCTCCTTGTCGCCTGGCGACATTGTCCCGTCGCTAGCTCGTTTCGACCTAGACACCGAGTTTTCGTTGGTGGAACAACTTTTCTTTTTCTTTTGGACTTTCGTCCTAGTGGTGGCTTGAGGTTTTCTCTTTCGTTTCTTTGGCCCCGACTTGGAGGGGGTAACCTGGGAGGAAGATCGTTTGGCATCTGACGTTGTCGTTGTTGAGTTCTTCTTCTTTCGTTTCTTTGCCCTGGTCGCATCAGATGATACTTTCGCCTTTGGCTTGTTTCGTGAATCTTCTTGTTGGTTGGCAGGAATCAAAGAGATTGTATGGATTTTCTGCTTCTTCTTTTGTGGTCGATAGCAGGAGACGTCATCATCATCATCATTGACATTTCCTTCACTTTCATCCTCACTGGAAGACGAGAACGAAAGAGAGGCCGAGATTGATGACTTCTTTTTGAATGAAATGAGCTTTCGGTCCAACTCGGAATCATCCTCCGAATCATCATTGTCAGCTTCCGCAGCCTTCTTGAGTTTCTTGTAATATTCGGTACAAGCATCCTTGTGTCTGCCCTTTTGAATCTTGCCCACCTTTTGCTCTTTCTGGCAAACCGTACAGCCAATGCGACGACCATGTTGCATCCGCTGATAAATCTGCTTGGCCCCCGAGTTTTCAAAAAAGTCATTGTGTGGACACCACGCATGATGCATCCGAGGTGCTGGTTTGGACCCTTTGGGCGTGTTGCACTTGAGACAATATGGAACAACGGTATCATTGCTTTTCAAGTCGCCTTCGTCTTGACTCTTCATGGGAGTGATCTTTGACGCCTTTGGTGGCGGTGCAGTGGAGTCTTTCGTTTTGACAGTATTGTCTCGAACCTTGGACGACGACTTCTTATCCGCCAACCCACTGGATATCCGTTGAATTGACATGTTGTTGCCAGCCGAACAGTCTCTAGCAGAGTTGGACCCTTTTGATTGCAGCATGTGAGACGCTTCATTTGCGTTTCCAGACAGTGGCGTCACCATTGGTTGATGATTCTTGTTGCTCTTGGAACGTGGCGTGGGTTTGTCACTGTTGCTGTTGTTACGTTTGTTGTTTCTTTTGTTGTTACTGTTGTTGTTACTGTTGTTGTTGCTGTTGTTGCTATTGTTGTAGCTATTATTACTGTTGTTGATGTTGTTGCTGTTGAATGATTTGTTCTTGGATGCTGCCAAGCCGGCATTGGGACCAAAGTCATCCCGGCGAATCCATTCCGCATCCCGCTTTTGCTGCCCCTTTGCTTCTTCTTCCTTGGAACCTTGATGCTGTCCACTTGCCTTGTTATTTTGTCGACCAGAGTTGTTCGTTGCCTTGTCGACTTGGGTAGAAGAAAAAGAAGTAGTAGTAGTAGTAGTAGTAGTAGAGTGATCCTCCTCCTTCTTCTTCTTTTTGGTGTGTGTGTCCTGTTTGCGACGAAGAATGCAGACAAAAAATGGCCGTTCCTTGGCCCATTCTTGCACCTGTTCAAAGAGTGCCAATCGGACATACTCATCTTGTTCAGCATCTTGAATGGGCCAAGCAATCCAGTCCCCTTCTTGGATCCCATGCTTGGATGCCAATCCAAAAGTCTTGAGGACGCGGCAATTATTAGGAGTGAGATGCCTGTTGGGGGCATCATCATCATCATCATCATCATTATCATCTTTGCTGCCAACAAACATGCTGCTCTGAATCCGCATTCCAAGCACACCCGAATCATCAATGTAGACGTTTTGACGTGTATAGTGCTCTTGGTAGTAGCTGTCGTCCTTCCACAATAGGTGATTCGGATCGTCTCTGCGGTACTTTTCAATTATCATTATTCTTCGATTGTTTGTCGTTGTCGTTACTGATTCTTTTGATGTTGCCAAAGGCTTGGAGGATGAATTGGAGGATGACTTGGAGGAGGTCTGATCCTCGTTTGGTTGACGATTCTCCTTCTTCCTTTCACATTGTTGCTTGTCGTCCTTTTGAGGAACCGTCAACGTTTCCTCCTCCTCCTTCTTGTTTTCGTCGTTCTTATTCGTATCCTTATTCTTGTCCTTTTTGTCTGGTCCAGCATGATCCAATTGTAGCATGGAGACGGCGGCATCGTATCGCAAATCGTCCATGTTTTGCGAAAGTACATTCAAGGTTTGGGTCATGGGCGACACGGCACTACTAAAGTTGAGTCGTTGGGAGGAAGGTGTTTCTGCCTGTTGTTGTTGTTGTTGTTTCTGCGGCCTTGTTTGTGACGAAAGTATGGTAGAAGAAGGCGATGCAGACGGAGAAGAAGAAGAAGGCGACAAAAACTCTTGTTGTGGAATTGGTTGCATTGCCGTCATCATATTGGACGCGTCGTCATCATCATCATCATCGTTATTGTTGACATTGTTGTTGTTGTTGTTGTATTGTTGTTGGCGATCAACACGTTCACGCCGTCCCCAAGTAGTGGCCGAGTCATCATCGTCGTCGTCGTCGTCGTCGTGATTGTTGTTGTTATTGTTGTTGTTGTTGCGATGATGAGAACTCTGAAACCAAGTCGCCATTGTTATTATTGTTGTTGGTGGTGTTGTGTTCTCAAAGAGATGAGTGGGAGAAAGATTGTTTTGTGAATGGCAGGCGGAACCTTGTTCCAGCTATGATTGACTAGATAAGAAGAAATGTATCATTGCTGATGTGTGAGTGTGTGTTGATCGGGGTGCTCCAGCACAGAAGCAAAAGAAGGGACCGATTCGCACTTTTTCTTTTTTTTTCTTCCCTTTTGTTGACATTTTCAAGTTTTCAGTTTGGCTCGAAGTTGAATCCAAAGGGGGAAGAGAGAAGCGGAGTATATTGACAGCATTGCTGGGTTGGATGGATGGATGGACAGAATTTTTAGTACCAGATGTTACATGCTGACCTGTGGATGCAAGTTTGGCGCGCATGCAATTTGGTAGCACCACAGAACTGTACTGACACAACATTCATTCATTCATTCATTCATTGCATGCGACTACGGATAGTTTCCTCTTGTATTCTTTGCAACAACAAATACCACAATACCACAATACCACAATACACGACGACGACGACGACATCTCCCCTTTCAGACTTGTCCTCTTCACTACAACTACAACTACAAGAAAGACAACTATATAGAATATAGCAGCAACATGTTGATCAACAAAGACATGGCCGCCACTGCCATTGTGGCCGCATCCGCCACAACACGTGGCATTGGCTTCAAAGGAGACCTTCCCTGGAATTTGCCAGGCGATTTGAAACACTTTGCCAAAGTTACCAGGACAACAAGCTCCCAAGAAAACAAACAAAATGCCGTCATCATGGGCCGCAATACCTGGGATTCCATTCCACCCAAGTTTCGGCCACTGAAGGGACGAACCAATGTCATTTTGAGTTCGTCGCTCACCCAAGAGGATGTCCCCCAAGATGTTCTCATTGCCAATTCCCTGGCCAATGCTTGGGAACAATTGGCCTCTCTTGACAATTTGGATCAAATCTTTGTCATTGGTGGTGCTCGTGTCTACCAAGAAGCCATGGAACACAAGTACGTCCACAAGCTCATTTTGACCAGTGTCGATACCCCCCAAGACATGGAATTCGATACCTTTTTTCCAGAATTCGAGTCTACCGCCAACTGGAACAAGGTGGATGCGTCTGAAACGCACGAAGAAAATGGTTTGACCTATCAATTCCAAACCTACACCAGACCCAATCAACAAGAGGAGCAATACCTCGATTTGATTCGCAAAATCCTCAAGGAAGGCGTCGAAAAGGGAGACCGCACGGGAACGGGTACCAAGTCCCTGTTTGGGGCCCAAATGCGATTTGATTTGCGCAATGGGGAATTGCCGTTGTTGACCACCAAAAAGACCTTTTGGAGGGGCGTGGCGGAAGAATTGCTCTGGTTCATTTCCGGTTCCACCAATGCCATGGAACTGCGAGACAAGAAGATTCATATTTGGGATGGCAATGCCAGCAAGGAATTCTTGGAACAACGTGGTTTGGGACACCGCGAGGAAGGTGATTTGGGTCCCGTCTATGGCTTTCAATGGAGGCATTTTGGGGCGGAATACAAGGACATGCACACGGACTACACCGGCAAGGGGGTGGACCAATTGGCCGACTGCATTGATAAAATCAAGAATCATCCAGAGGATCGTCGGATCCTCATGAGCGCCTGGAATCCAGCGGCTCTGGATGAAATGGCACTCCCACCCTGTCATTTGCTCTGTCAATTCTATGTCGACACTCAAAAGAATGAAGTTTCCTGTCACATGTACCAACGGTCGGCCGACATGGGATTGGGAGTTCCCTTCAACATTGCCTCCTACGCTTTTTTGACCCACTTGGTGGCACACGTGACGGGACGCAAGGCGGGAGACTTGGTCCACTCCTTGGGGGATGCCCACGTCTACTTGAATCATATGGAACCTCTGCAAGAACAATTGGACCGCACACCAAGACCCTTTCCCAAGATTTTCTTCAATCCCGACAAGAAGGATATTGATGATTTCAAGTACGAGGATATCAATGTGGTGGGATACAACCCCATGAAGGCAGTCTCCATGAAAATGGCTGTTTGAATATCAATAGTGAATACAAATAAAATGGATGGTGGATGATGGATGGTGGATGATGGATGATGGATGATGAATGGTCCGGGGAGAGCATCTTGGTGTAATAACTACTTAGCAACCAAAGTTACATTGAATTTCGATGGGAAGTATTTCAGAATCCATACATTTGTTCACTATTATAGTTACAGCAGATGGCATTATAAATACTAGACTAGAAACTATAGTACTAGGCTAGACCACTACTAGCTTCTTGACCCATCCCCTTGCTCCTATCATGGTGTGTCAACGCAAATGACATCGTCGTTGGCTTGAATACCACTCAAGGAATCAAAGGTTGGTACTGGAATTTTGGTATATCGTCTTCGTTTGCTCCCACCAATGCTACTGCTGCCGACACTACTGCTACTGCTGGCCGTCTTTTTGGATCTACTACTGCCACCCTTGGATGGTGAGGATCTGGCTCCTCGGGATGGTGAGGATCTGGTTCTGGAGGGAGATGGAGATAATCTTGTTCGGGATGGAGAGGTTCTGGATGCTGAGGGAGAGGCTCCTTGTTTGGATTGTTGTTGCTGTTGCTGCTGCTGCTGCTGCTGGTGCTGTTGCTGTTGCTGCTGGTGCTGTTGCTGCTGTTGCTGTTGCTGTTGCTGTTGCTGTTGCTGCTGTTGCTGTTGTTGAACGACGTCGCTAAAGGGGCTCGCTGGTAATTCAATGATATTGGCGTGGTCCAAATTCAAGCGGACGGTGGGAGTCGGTTTGGTATTTCGTGTCTCGCGTTTGGCAAGAGGACCGGCTGAAGATTTGGCAGGCGCAGCACCAGAAGATTGGGATGGGTGGTTCTTGGATTTTTTGTGCTGCTGTTGCTGTTCTTGTTCTTGTTCTTGTTGTGGAGACGATAATGAGTAGTCTTTGGAAGAATCGGCTCTATCCGAAGAGATTGATGCTTGAAATGAATCCAGTATACTCTTGAACTGTTGATTCTCGGTTTCCAACTCTTGCACTCTTGCTTCCGACTTGATGAGGTCCGCCATAATCTCCTCAATTTTGCCTTCGTATTTTGTCTTTTCTGTATTGGACGCCTCCATCAATTCTTGAATCTTGACGTTGCGTTCGAGCAGGAAAATGTCCTGCTTCTTGCTATTGCTGGCCATTTCCAAGAGTTGATTGGAAAAATTCTGCTGTTCTTCCTGTCTCTCGGATAGTTGTGCCTCTATCTTTGTGAGCTTCTCGTCAAGGACAGCATTGTTCCATTGCTGATCTTCCAAGGCCTTGGCCACCGCTCTCAGGCTTTTCACCTCTTTGGAAAAGGCTTTTCGTTCCTGTTGGTGGTTGGATTGCATAATCTCCGTCTTTTTTACCAATTCATCAAATGCCTTGCTTTGCTTTTCACAAAGAGCTTCCAATCTTCGGATGGACTCTTCTTGGCGAGCTTGTTTGGGGGCGCTACTCATTTCCAATGCCGCCCCGACACTGTCAGGACTTTGCTTCTTGGAAGCGTCTTTAAAACAAGAAGGTTGCGAAGAAGAAGAAGCTGACGACGCCTGCAGCTTCAAAGCAGCATGAATACCTGACAGCATGCTCTCCAATCTCGGAATTTGGCCGAGGACTTGTTGGAAAATAATCGGATCAGTAGATTCGTGGGAGGACTGCGAAGTGTGCTTTCCATCGTCTTGACTGCTCGATGATTCTTCGGGCACTTGTTTTTCGGGTTGTTTCGGTTTCGCACTTTGCGATTCCTTCTGCATTTCTTCTGGTGACTCCTCCTTGTTCTCTTGGTTCTTGTCGTCTTGCGAATCCATTCTGGTCTTCTTTGGAGACTTTTGGACTGCTTCGTTCAACGGAGACGTGGCCTTGGAAGGACTCGAGTTTGAGGTATTATTGAAGTTCATGCCAACATTGTCGAGTACAGCCGATGACTCCTTTTCTGGCTCTGAAACAGACTCTTCCTCTGCCCGCGGCCTTTTGCGACGTCTAGATCGTCTGCTTAATGCAGCAGCGCTAGGACTTTTTGTTTCTAGAATTTGAGCTCTTTTCTTGGGTGATGTCTTGCTGGGACTGGCAGTCGAGACAGAGTCAGATCTCCCTCCGACTGTCTCTTTCTCTTGTGGATCCCCATCTTCCTTGATTTCTTCCCAATAGGGCTTTTCGGGGACCCTTCGTTGTCGTCCAGTGTTTCCAGCAGTGCCTCTGCGGCGTTTTCCATAGTGTGCAAGCGTCATGGTGAGCTTTGTTCCGACTGTGTTTTTGATTTGTGTGGAAGTTCGGGGCGTTGCTGTCTCTTTTGACTACTACGACTAATTTATCCAAATTCAAATTTGAGAACAATGTCACGAGCCAGTGTGCCCATACAACCTCAAACCTCAAACCGACGCCGATGGCTTGTTGTAACTCACGATATAGAATTGCCCAATATGCTCCAACCAAAGCAGCGATACTCAGAATATACACTTGTGAGACACCATCCTTCTAATGAAACCTCACAAAATCATTCTCTACGCCGGCCATCATGAGTCGCCGGACTGTGGTGCTGGTCAGCCAGATGATCATCCGATTGAGAGGCAATGAGAAGACATTCATGAACTCATCACACACATGCATTTGTGAGAAACCGGAGTGTGCATCTTCATCGGTTCGTTTTAAAGCCCTTGATGAAATTAGAGGCACCTATGTGATGGTTCCCACTGCCAAGATGTCCAAGACGACGGACAAGGCGGAGCGTATTATAGGCGCCATCTTTGCCCAGAAAAGACACTTCAACACATTGCCGCTGTGGCCCGAACGAGACTACATACAAAAGGGGCAAGACGAGGAGTTGCCCGGGCGGCAGATCAAGTTTGTTTCCTGGCATCAATTTGACCCCAGCTACATCGCGCAGAAGGGTCTCGACGCAAAAGGAAAAAAGTATTACTGCTTGGATAGTATTTATTTCCAACGTCTTTGTCAAGGACGTCATCCAATCAGACCGAGAATCAAACGGTTACACAAATGCCGACCGATTCGACAAAGATTTTTATTTTGTACCCCCACCCAGCGACGATGTAAAAGAAATTGAGAAGAACTCTCATTAGCTGGGATTCGTGACCGACGAGGTGCGTAGTCACCGCAGCACCCAGATCATCTCGCCGAGCAAGGGCACCGAACAACCATTGCAATATCTTGTATATTCAATTCAATTCAATTCAATTCAATTCAATTCAATTCAATTCAATTCAATTCAATCCAATTCAATCCAATCCAATCCAAAGAAGGTCGTGGCATTGACAGTGGTGGCAGTAGCAACCGTCTCAAATGGCATTTCCAATGTTTCGGCTAGCTTCCTTGCTACATCGACGCAATCAGCCGGCTCACTAGATCGTCTGCCCTTCTTGAAACCCATAAAGGGAGCATCCGTTTCTACCATTAGCTTGTCCAGCGGCAGGCTTGGTATCAGCTCACGCAAGGATTTCCCCCTTTCTTTCTTGCAAATCGTGCCCGTAAAACCAATGTAGAATCCTCTTTGAACGTATTCCAGCGCTTCTTCTTTTGTCCCCGTAAAACAGTGGACCACAATGGGAGGCAATTCTACGTTTGGATGTGCTGCTTTTATTCTGTCGAATACCTTGATCAAATCAGCATGTGCTTCTCGCTCGTGCACAAAGATGGGTTTTTTGAGTTGGATGGCAAGCTGTATTTGTTCCTGGAACGCGTGCACCTGACTGGATGGGGAACTAAAATTTCGATTGAAGTCCAATCCACATTCTCCAACTGCGACAGCCAATGGATGCTTCAGCATTTCTCGCATCTCTTCCAAGGTAGAAGTAGTAGCAATAGTAGTAGGCATACTGGGACTCACGCTACTTTCTCCATCTTCCGGCGATGCTGATGCTGGATCTTGCCATGTTTTGGCGTCGTGTGGATGAATCCCTACCGTCGTGTAGAGATTTTTTTGACCAGTTTCCTCGAACCATTCTTGAGCCATGCCCAAGTTGGCTTTGGAAGACTGCATACTGGTGCCCGTCAAGAGTATTTTAGTGACGCCGCCATCAATAGCTCGTTGCACGACAGCTTTCCAATGCTTGCGAAAGGCCTTGTGGGTCAGATTGATGCCAATGTCTACGACTGCTGGATTGGAAGTCATTTGATGTCCTGAAGGAGGAAATGGTCAATGTCTGAATCTATTTGAAGTATTGGATTGGAGATGAGGACGACGACGACGACTCTACTTTGTCTGGAAAATTGTGACTTGAGCGGTGTGAGTGGTTGTCTTGTGATTGAAACGTGCGTGATTCAAATGAATTGAGTCACGATTCACTGTCTATTGAAAAAGCCAGAGAGCAAACTATACGGTACCTCGTTCAACTCTTTGTTGCCCATGTTTTCTGTTTTGATAGTCTGGTTTGAGAGCCACTGGAAATCAATCTGAGA